CGTTGATTTCGGGTGGCCACTAAGACAAGTTTGACTGCATAGGAAAAATCTTCTTCTTAATAACAGCAAAGCCATGATTGGTCATGTTTATATGGAAGCATCCTCAGGTACTGTAGATTCAAGTTTGTTCAAATCATGACCCCCGGGGGTACAGCCACAATGGTTGATCAAAGTTTTACATAGGAATATAATAGGAAAATTATATAAAAATCTTGATTGGCCTTGTTCAAATGTTAGCATCCTCAGGTAGTTTAGATAAAGATTTGTTAAAATCATGACCCCCAGGATTGGGTGGGCCACAAAAGTACATAACTTATTTGGAATAAAGCCACAGTTAGTCAAAAAATATGTAAGCACCCTTAGTTAGTGTAGATTCAAGTATGCATAGATTCAAGTTTGTTCAAATCATCCCCCCATCTTTTAGGATCGGGACTACTTACGCATTTACTGAATTGATTTTTCCTAGCCACAGTGCTCAGGTGAGCGATGTGGCCCATGGGCCCTGTCTTACATGGATGAGTTCGATGTCAATTTGTTTTTGTTGCATAATATTTCCATTTTAAGATATGAACTAACCGGATACATGAAGATGACCCTCTGACCATCGTTTGCATAATTTTTGAAATATGTTTGCACTACATTAATGCAAATCTCACCAAACAACATACAAAAATAAAGTTTCTACTTGTGTGACTAGCCATGTTTTAAATTCATTTGTATTTGATCTAGCTTTTGACATCTTGCAATATTTCTTTCAAATGGTGTAAACTCGATGCGACTTTTCTTATTTTGATTTATTTTAATGTGCCGCGTCGCCCTCATGGAGCAATGGTTAGAGCGTCTTCCCTACAGTCACGAATTAAGGAGCTGATCCTTACGTCGCGGGTTCGAATCCCACTGTGGGACGCAGTAGGTGCTACCTTTGAGCTTCCGCGAACGGTTCTTTTCGTTTGGAAAAAAAACCTCTCCAATCTATGACAAGTATCAATAGAATAATTAAAACTTGATCTTCCTATTCAATTGGAAATATCATTGGAAATGTTTCCATAGTAACGTTATTCATTTTATTTATCTATTTATTTTCATGAGGAAATAATTCATACATTGTAATACTTTCTGAGAAATCTGTGACGAGTGCCGACTCTTTCAATATTAGGAATAACGACTACAGAGTATCCCATACTGAAAATGTAACATTGTTTGCTATGTGCTAGAAATAGTTGTTATGGATTAAATGAGTTAAAAATACTTTCGAAAAACAAACATTTCAAAATCATTTTTTTCTTCATGACGTGATTTAGATAAAGATTTACAGGTAACATGAATATGCGTCAAACTTTCTTTGTGTCGTTGCTAGGGGAGTGGTGTTGTTGCTATGGAAATAAGTCATTGAACAATATTCAATAACTTGATACAACATTTAAAAGTCTTTCTGAACTATCAACATGCAATTATCAGCATATTACTTGAATATCCAATTCCATGACAAACAATACAATCCCAAAGTCATATCTGTTTTACAGGAGACATAGGAACTTTGGTTGTCATGTACATGGAATCCTTGCCATATGGGTTGATTAAGTACCAAAAAAAAATAACAATAATAAAACCAACATTTCATTGTCAATTTTGCTCAACCGGATTTTTCTGACTTATTTTGAATAAGCCTTAATAAGATTACACGAAAACACGCCAAAATTACCTTTCTTTGCCTTGTTGCTATGGAGAACCTGCCGTTGCTATGGAGATAAAGAATTATGCAATATTCAATAATGTGCAAGGGAGACCGAATTTAATTATACTATTTTAAAATTTGTATCTCGTTTATCATAAATAACCGTTCATTTGATTTTTCCGTAAACTTTTTACATTGTTTCTCATTTTATGCATCAAAAAGCCCATTTTTGTTGCTAGGCAACAGATTCGATTTTCAAAAGAGCCCATGGAATTGATTTCAAATTCTAAAAGAGAAATACCTCTGCTTTAATGTGAGATACATGCAACAACTGTATTAATCTGGCCATTTTTGAAATTTGGCCTTGAATATTGCCAAAATCACGAAAAATGCTGAATCAGCAAAACTTGTAAAACATGTGTACCTTCCAATGTCTACCACAGAACTGACTTAAGACCTAAATATTTTTTATTACATTATTAGAACACAATAAATGTGTATCTTTATTACACCCATAAGTAAGAATAATTCTCATGGTATTTACGTGTTACTTTAAGCCTCAAAGATAGGTGATTTTTAGTCCTTCAACACTGAAAAATCTGCCCGTTGCTAAGGAAATTTCTTTGGCTGGGTTTCCATGGTTATCATGACTCAAAACATTTTTCATTTTACATACATTGTTCATACTTCAAAATAAATCTATGAGTGAAAAATCATCAAATTCTGAGAACCCTCATATATCACCCTTTGTCTGATTTTTATGTGGACTGGTACTTAAACTTTGAACTCTTTTGAATACAGTGCATGTAAAAATAACTCACCAAATTGCGTCTCCTTGAGAGACTTTGTACTCAAAGTTTTAAAAGTTTTGGGGCTATTGATGAGTGGCCACACAGTTATTTCTTGAATGAAATTATAAAGGAGGGCAGTTATGGCCAACAGGATATAAATTGATTGGTAACAGTTAAGCACAATGAGAAGCAATCATTCTTAACCAAAATGTAGTGGAGAGTTACTAAACAATGGAATTCATATTTTTGCTTAAAAGTATTCAACAGCTGCAATGTTAGAATTTTCTATGATTTAGGTTGTAGTTTTGATAGCCCATAGTACATATATGAATAGTCAAATACTTGCGACCTTTTGTTTATTTCATGCAAAAAAAAGTTTATGTGGTAAACTGCATAATTATAAATAGCTTTATCAAGCTATTTTGAATGGCTTGATAAAGCTATATAGCTTTTTAAAGCAATATAGCTAAATCAAGCGATTGTGCTGGACCTGATACAACTGTACTTCTAAGTGTTTCAAGATCTATACTTCAATTGGATCTTAGTTTGACAGCTACCTATAAATACCCCCCCCCCCCCCCCAATGTATAAATTATGTTAAGAAATGATGTGGCAGGCCTTGTTAAAATGTCTTCCAAAAGTTTTTTGAATGATATAAGTAAAACAAATTTTGTCATTCTTCACAGACCAATAGTCTCGTTCAACCAGACACGGTTGAACGAGACTAACGACCAAAGGTTAAAAAAAAAATGATCGGGTTCGTTGTTCAATTTTAAATCTATGGCGGCGGTTCAAAACAAGTATCAACAAGACAAATTATCATGTAAAGCTTCTCAATGCCGGTGGCTTAATAAAGACAAGTACGTAAGATTTTGTTGCAGAATCCTATTGTTTTAGACTTGATCGAATTATTTTGGAACTATTCGTTCAGCTGCCACCGCGGAATCAGGGTCCATTAAGTGAATCGCACCAATATTCTGCTCCATCATATTGTGAGGACACTGATTGAATCAACTGTTTTTTTAAAATGATTTATTGAAACTATTAAGATTCATGAAGAGGTTTTGGCTTTTCTAATTCAAGTTTTACTCGCCATTTTAGACCGCATGATACAATATCACAGAAATATACTCTCAGGTAGTTTTTGGTCAAATAATGCAATTATACATATTTCTTGAAATGAGTATTTTGTTAAAATATATATTCTAGAATCAAATGCCACTCGAAGTCTTATGTCAGCTGAATCTTTCATAATAATATGTTTTACGGTGTGACTGTTAGGGCAAGCACAGTTATTGGTGTCCCAGTCAACACAGACCGAGTCATACACCATGTACACAGACCGAGTACACAAAAAGTCAACTCATACACAAATCAGAAGTCAACTCGTATAAAAATCAGATGTCAACTCATACACAACGTTTTATTACCAATTGTTAGGAATTATTTTTATATGAAAAGTGCATAATCTAGAAAAAAATAAAATAAGGATGAAGAGAAGTACATGTTAATTTTTGAAGTTATTTCATAAATACTTTAAGTAATGGTTTAACATTTTAATAACTTCCCTTGTTATGTCTAAGGAATTCAAACAATTATTGTTAAACCAACACAAGCACGGGTGTTTCTTGGATCTGCGACAAATGCTAATTACCATATGCTCCTAATTTGGTCCAAATTTCTCCCTTCTTTAAACTTCAACATGGTGCGAGAGACATATATATATATTTATCCTGCAGTAAAACTAAGTTTTTAAAAATTTTTCTAACGATCCTACGAAACATGCTAAACAGAGTATGCTGGTACAATAGGGTATTAAAGTTCTTTAGAGTATGCTAGTAAAATTTTATAATTTAATGCAATTAAACTGCTTTTTTAAAATGTTTTTCTACATTGGTTTAACATAATAAACATATATTTTAGATAAAATATGTATGTATGTTCCTTGTTTTAGAAGTTACTGAGGAGGGGGGTACTCTGTGTAATTCAGAGTTACATGTAGATACCTTGTGTTATTATTATACTATTGGTTAAAAATTTATTACCAAATCAAGTGCCTATATAATAAAGTATTTTTTGAACCATTTTCTAAATACTGCCATTATCTGCAATTTTACTTCTATTCTCTCTCGCACAAGACTGATATTTTACTTACTTTGCTTGGTTAATGTACATGTATGTAAAACCCTACATTAATTTCAAGACATCAGATCACTAACACTCTGTGAGAATGCAAAAGTAGATTTATTTTGATAAAGGTTTAGACCACTAGACCAGATATTGTCACCATCTTTGATCAAAACTGGTCAACAAAATAAATACAATTGTGCATTCTCACAATATATGACATAAGTGGTCATCTGAACATGTTCTTAGTTTTTAACTTTGGATCCAGACTCGATTGAATACCTTTTGGTATTCACTCGTAATAATCCACTGCATTTTTAACTCTAAGGTGTTTGATTTCATTTTAATTTGTATTGGATTAAATAATTATAATAAAAAACGATTTTCTTGAATTACTCTCAGGTTAACAATGAAGATGGGCAGTCACATTCTGATGCAGATACGTGTATTTTTTAAACAAAAATGAAGTTGAAAACCGAAGTGCTAGCATCATCTAGCATTAAAAGGAAAAAGCCCTGGCCAAAGATTGTCTGGATTGGTGAGGTAAGAATCAGTTACACTAAACACAAGTAGAAAGCTTTAATTCTCAAGAAGTTGTGTTTCTATAATCCTTGGAATTATAGGTATAATTGTTCAGATAGTGGCAAAAATAAAGTTAGTGTTAATTATGTGAGCACGATCAATATTGAAGTCTTCAAAATATGAACATGATCTTGAATTAACACTTAATACAAAGAAGCCTCAAGAGTTGTACTTACATAATACGTTTAATTAATTGTTTAATTATACCCCCCGCAAACGAAGTTTAGGGGGGGTATATTGGAATCACCATGTCCATCTGTCCGTCTGTCTGTAGATGAGATTTTGTCCAGACCATTACTCAGAAACTATTGGAAGGATTTGTCTGGAAATTTGTACAAATATTATTCACCATATAAAGGTGTGCACCCGATATTTTCATTGTCTGTCAGAGCACTTCATTACTACTAGATGACCAGCTCTTTATTTTCAAAATGAATTTTATATAAAGTTATCAAGATTAATTTGATTTTGTTTAATATGATTTTTTTTTTTCAACAATCAGTTTGCGGAGTGTCATGACACATAATTGCAATATATTCTTTTTAATGCAGAAGTTAAAAAAAATGTTACAATGGAATTACAATATATTAGTATTGATGTTTTATTTGGTTGCACCTTTGTTTCATTCATTAGAAATATAATGAGCAATTATATAATTATTTTCACCGCAAATTTTTGTAAGAAAATTGTGAACACCTCTAGATCTGTAAAGTATTTGTGAATTGGCACCTTCTCTGAAAAACCCAGCGGGGGGTATTTGTCCCTACTGGACAGTTCTAGTTTAAAGTAGAGCAAAAGTATTTCTAAAAAGAGCAAAAGAAATTTGGTGAATCAAAATACTTAAACTTATATACAGTATACAAGGATATCATTTTGAATGATTTTTGTCTCGCCTGCGACGAATGTCGCGAAGCGAGACATAGCGACCATAGATTCCGTCGTCGTCGTCGTCGTCGTCGGCGTCCAACTTTTGGTTAACCCAAATGTCAAAGTTTTATAAACTGCAATAACTTTCTCAAATTTTATTCAGTCTTCTTGAAATTTGGACACAATATTCAGTATGGATAAAAATTTATATCCCAAGTATGATTTTGAAAAAAAAAATTCAAATTTTTCCGTATTTTTTCCTTAAGTTGGACTTAGTTTTTTCATGATAATTTATGGTGAAGACCTATATTCCAGCAACTATAAGTTATAGGGATATGATAATTAGTCAGTGGATACATCATGGGTAACCACAAACGTCAGTACCAGAATTAGGTCATCTTGACCTACATTTTTCTGCATGAGTGACTTTGGTTAAATTTTTGGTGGAGGTCCATATCTCAGCATCTATAACTTATAATGGCATGATGATTTGTCATTGTACAGGTTATAAGTAACCAACAACATCAGTACCAGAATTAGGTCATTTTGACCTACATTTTTCTGCATGAATGACTTTGGTTAAATTGATAATGGAGGTTCATATTTCAGCAACTATAACTTATAGTGGCATGATAGTTAGTCAGTGGATACATCATGGGTAACCACAAACGCCTGTACCAGAATTAGGTCATCTTGACCTACATTTTTCCGCATGAGTGACTTTGCATAAATTTATGGTGGAGGTCCATATCTCAGCAACTATAACTTATAGTGGCATGATAATTTGTCAGTGGATACATCATGGGTAACCACAAACGCCTGTACCAGAATTAGGTCATCTTGACCTACATTTTTCCGCATGAGTGACTTTGCATAAATTTATGGTGGAGGTCCATATCTCAGCAACTATAACTTATAGTGGCATGATAATTTGTCAGTCTACACATCATGGGTAACCAACAATATCAGTACCATAATTAGGTAATCTTCACCTACATTTTCTGCATGAATGACTTGATACATATACAGTGGATTTGATTTCAAAATGCAAGTTCAAATTATTGCGACTCATAACACGTTGCAATATTCGCAATAATAAAAACATCACAATAATTTGTGAATTTACAGGGTATATGTATATATATATAAATGCCAATATAATCGCCAAGGGATTAGATATTAAGTCAGCTGTTCCATTTCTTTATTATTGTATTTTTGAGTTATTCCTTCTGAAATGTCAATAAATGCTTCAGTTTATCAGACAATCATTTCTTACTAACCACAGCGACAGCAGGCGAGACACAGGGTTGCGGGCAACCCTTACGTACTTTTTTTTTAGCTCACCTGAGCTGAAGGCTCAAGTGAGCTTTTCTGATCACATTTTGTCCGGCGTCCGTCTGTCTGTCTGTCCGTCTGTCTGTAAACTTTTCACATTTTCGACTTCTTCTCAAGAACCGCTGGGCCAATTTCAACCAAACTTGCCACAAAGCATCCTTTGGTAAAGGGGATTCAAGTTTGTTCAAATGAAGGGCCACGCCCTCATTCAAGGGGAGATAATTGGGAATTAATGAAAATTTGGTGCTATGTTTTAAAAATCTTCTTCTCAAGAACCACTGTGCCAGGAAAGATGAAACTTATGGGGAAACATCCTCAGGTAGTGTAGATTCACGTTTGTTCAAATCATGACCCCCGGGGGTAGGGCGGGGCCACAATGTCCGACCAAAGTTTTACATAGAAATATATAGGAAAATTCTTTAAAAGTCTTCTTCTCAAGAATAACAAAGCCATAATTGATCATATTTATATGGAAGCATCGTCAGGTAGTGTAGATTCAAGTTTGTTCAAATCATGACCCCCGGGGTAGGGCGGGGCCACAATGGCCGACCAAATTTTTACATAGAAATATATAGGAAAATTTATTAAAAATCATCTTCTCAAGAATAGCAAAGCCATGATTGGTCATGGGACTACTTTTGGATTTAAACTTTTCAATAATAAACCAATTTCTACTTTTTCCTAGCCACAGTGCTCAGGTGAGCGATGTGGCCCATGGGCCTCTTGTTTTTTACATATTTTTGTAGGAGTATGAAAGCCTCCTTCTTTTGGATGAGGATAATCATCGGATCAGTGTTCTGTACGTTCCATCTGGAAAGACCAAGAAGAGAATCACCAAGTTATCTCCCCTTATATTGAATACTGTTACAGTGCAAGCCACAAAAAATGGTTTGTATGTCAAAGTCTGGGCAAAGGGAAATGAAACTATATTATAGCAGAGACATAAATAACAGAGATTCGCAACTCCGCCATTAGCATTTTTGTTTACCAAAACGTGACGATCCTAGTACTATTTTAAGAATAACTCTATTTTTTGTCTCATTTATTATTAGAAAGTAAAATCAATATTAATTATACCATATTAGGGTGTATGACTTGTAAGGTTTAAATAATTTTTAAAAGCAAACTAGGCAAATAAGAGAGGTTAATGATCGACAGTCGGCTAAATCATGGCAGTATGGCCGTCCAGGAGTCACATGTCGTAATTTCAGATTTCTCCTTTGTTATTGTATTACATAAACAGACTTATAAAGAAATAGTATTATGAATAACTTCTTGATATATATTTTAAAAAATTACTATGTATTTCCTGATAATTTCAAGGTTTTAGGTGATTTAATTTGCACGAAATTTGAAATATTAAACAATAGGGAACCCAAGATCGTGCAAGACTTTGAAGAGTTGTGAATCTCTGTTATTTATGTCTGATTATAGTTATACAAAAAATATCAAAGGTCAGCACTATGTATAAGTTTTATTACTGTAATCGTAAAATGAACTAAATACTGTAAATGTATTATATTAAGTGTGTAGGATATTTGGCCCAAATTGACTTTCGAATACATTAGCGTAGGTTTGAATTAGCACAGTTCTTATTTTGTCTTAGACTTTTATGTATACATTTAGCCTTGTACTTTATAACCAAGTGGATAAGGAACGCAGGTTTAATAAATTTATTTAGAAAAGAAAAAGCAATGGCAGATCTGAAATATATACAAATACAAATAAATTATACAATATTTTAATACACATAGACATGCAGCAATTTTTTTCTGAAGATAAATAATATCTTATAGGCTTCAAAAATAACAAAATTTTACAGAAATTAGCCCAAATTTGATATTTTCTTAGTTTAAAGTGTTCATTTCAGAAATATGAAAACTACTTAAGCTTATAACTTAATTGGACTTCAGATAAGTAAGAAATTTGATAGACATGAAGAATTTACCTTCCAAGTGGTTCCATTTCCCGCACTGATAGGAATGGGCCTATATATTTATAGAAGGAAAAACCAGTTAAACAAGATTTACTGGGGTACAAACTGGCCAAAGGAAATTGATGAGTAGAATGAATGAAAACCAAATCACGAATGGGCTATTAGCAAATATGGCATAGAAAGTAAATCATGGCTCAGCTAGTTCTTAAAAAATGATTTTTAATAAATAATCACTCTGCCACATTGGATAAGCGGAAGTTTCTTTCCACCAAAAGCGCTAAAAAGAATACAAAGCTAAATGTAGTCTGTTTACACTAACATTAATTGCTAAATATGAATCCTCTCACAATTTTCAATCCACAGTTAAAATTTACTGTTTTTGTGTAATGTGAAGCATTAATTGTTCATTTCTAGAAGAGGTATCCAGTTTTACTGTTTATTTATGATTGAGCTTGGATGCAAGATTTTAACCCTCTTCATTATTCACAATCAATTTCCTTTTTTTATTTTCCACAAAATATCAAGTTCTTTCATAAGTTTATACATGTACTACTGAAAAGGAGAAGAAGTTATTTATTTTATTGCAAAAATATTTGAAAACTTTTAATAGTGATTATGGATTCTGATATTGTAGATTTAAAATATTGAACCCATCTCAAGTGACATACCCTTGTTTTGAACAGAGTCTAAATTTGATTAAATTATGAGCCCTTTCTTAAATGAATATTATAATGCCATACACATGTACATGTTTTATTTCATTTACAGATGATTTGGCATTGTACCTCTAAAATGTTCAAACATTTTCGAGATTTAAAAACAAAAAACCAAATGACATGCAATTTTGAATTTTATTTCACAGGTCATTATCTGATAGGATTACAAAGTAATGGAGAACTGTTTGTGTGGTTTAAAGACAAAGATATTTTAAAGACCATCCCTGGTTTAGAAGGCATTGTTTCATTGAATGATTTAAGAAAAGGTGAGAATATCTACGTGCATTGATACCAAGTACTATTGTTTTTATGCCATTGACATGAAATGGTGGGTGGTGGAGATGTCAACATTTGTTCATTTCCATCCGCTTGTTTTTCTACCATTCCATCTCGGGACTTGTTATCAAAATCCATAAACCCATTCATGCCTAAATATTCACAATATCAATAGTAAGTGCAACATAACCAGGTCAAGCACAGGTGTAAAACTATCTTTAAAAGCATGCTTTAAACGTATGTATGTACATCGTATATTTTGGTTGAGAATGCATAGTACATACTGCATATTCAAGAGAATTTTCATTATAAATCAGGAAAATTTCTGATATTTTAAAGAAATCTTTTTAAATTTTGACATTTCTGTATGGAACAAATTCTACTTGTGTTGCATGATACAACAACAAAAAACACCCAATTCATAGACCATTTAAACTTTAAAATCCAAAAACATTTATGCTATGTTTGATAAGAATTTATGATGCATTTATTAATTATTGTTGTACTTTTCAGAAAAAGTTAGTCTTCATGGCTCAAATGATTGCCGTAACATTCTCCTCACTGTCGGGTCGGACCAAGTTTATGTGTGGGTCATGCAGACGGGTCAGACCTTCCTCCACTCCAATGTACCAGAGGTCAAAGGTCACTGGAACCGAATCAACGTACCACATGACATACAGATGCCCCCCGCCACAGAGTGTAGGGAACTGAGTGTGGAGGCTGTCTTCTTCTCTCATCAGGTACAGTAGAAGGGGGCGGCTTTCTGATTTAAAAAAAATTACTTACATACAGCTTTGTATTCATTGTTGTTTTTTTGACTTATTATAGTAGATTACAACTTCTGAATTTTATTGGATGTTAGATATTTATTAAGGGAAAAATGGTGGGAAATTAAGAAGAGGTAAAGCAAGATTTGTTGCCATGTTAATGGAGAGAATCTAAAGTTTTTTTGAAATACTTACATATACGGTATATACTGTAAGTTTAGTTACCAAATTTTTTAAATTCATTTTTTGCAAAATAGGTATTTTTGTATTTAGACAAAGTTTTCATGAATTCTGGTTATTGCTGTATATAATCTTTGCTGATAAAAATATATGCAAGAATGAAAAGTTTGCAAACAGACAATAATCATGTGAAAATAAAGTTCTCACAAATATAAAGTAATTTATAGTACATGTACTAATGAAGTACTCACTTGGTGTTTTGTTTATTTGTAAGCATGAATAAACATGTATGAAAGAACAAGAACTAATTTCATGAGCAGTGCTGGTGAAAGATGGAGGAAACAGCCATATTTTTTAAGAAGGCAATGCATACCTCTCCCTCCCAAAGGGGTTATGTAAAATATCAAAATCAGTTTCTCATTTAAAGTTGTACTAAAACTTATCATATACTGCACTTGTATTCTGTCATATGTTTTATTTTTGGATGAATATTTCTTTTTTGTATCATCAAAATCTTGACAGTTGTAGATTCTGCCTTTGTATTTCCTGTAGCAGTAAAGAGTCTTATGTGGCTCAACTGAACACAAATCTCCAAAACATGTATATCATTATATTAAGTTACCTGAGTCATTCACATACCTTGGGAAATTTCTAACAGGCAAATTGTTTTGTTTATTACACTGTATAATGATTTTTGTATGGTTTCTTCTTTAATCATGCATGTATCTATGTACATTTATTAGACAAACTGGATGCAAGATTATGATGCAGATAAACCTTGAACAAAATTGTGAAATAAATACCTCATAAGTTTTGGCCACATGATGGGGAGTTGGAAATAGGGAAAATTCATTATATCCCTGAAAATCTTTTTTTTTTTTATTTCTTACCACTTAGCAAACGAATTGTGTATTCTTGATGACTATAAACTTTTATCCCTTTATCAATTATGGTACATATTGTGAAATTGTGTCCTTAAGGCTCAGACCCTTGTTGGGTCTAAGTTAGTAAATGATTGAAATGCATTTGTTAATTAAATATTGCAAAAATTCAAAGAAAGAAAGTGCAGTGTAAGTTGAATTATTTTTTATTGGTAAGTAAGGAAAGGTGTAATGGTTGTTGAAAATATTTGTGATTTTATTTAAACTTGTTCATGCATTTTTCACATAGTATAAGCATTTTGTAATTAAGGTAAGTTTTTTGTGTAAGTTTTGACCAGCACATTCCAAATTTCCTCTATCCTTATACCCAAGGAAAATGAATTCCCTTGTGATTCTGGAGATGAAGACCTTTACATTGAAGTAGAAATAAAACATAAGTTCATTTAGAATTTCATACCTCATTCCATTCTCCATCCTCATTGAAATGGCACTTTATGTCAGGAGTGAACTCACAATTTATTTAAATTAATGAAGATTCACAAGTTTAAGTAATTGTTTTACATTGAAATTCACATTTAACACATAATCACAGTTTGGAATTTTAAAAAAAGGGGGGGGGCAAAATAGTCACCTTTTCCTGCAGAGCACAAATTCTACAGTAACATTTTATTTGCAGATAGTGTCACGTACAAGAGGAGTGAAGAATTTTTGATTCTGGGAAGCAAAGTATAGGAAAAGAGCAAAATTAGTAATGATGTGTAAATTAAAAAAAAACAAAACAAACAAAATATATTTATTTTTGTATATCTTATGGATATTCCTCTCATCTATGGATGAAAGTTCAGATCACATGACTTAATCTGAATAAGCTACTTTTCAAACATTGTTTTATTTATTACTTTCAAACTTAAATCAATATTGCAATGAGGTTAAAAAGAATCATCATTTTCTGTTTATGTAGAGTTAGATGTTGACTTACGAATCACATCACTAAATGAACACATTCACAGTCAATGAATATTTTGATTACTTGTATAAACGTATCACTATGGTATAATAATTTCACATGCCATAATGAATAATCATATGATATGATCATAAATCATACAATCATTTCATATGTCATGAAGATAATTATTTTATACAACTTCCAGGGAAGTGTATTAGTAATGTAATATCTATATTTTCCTCTCATCTATGGATTAAATATTCAGCAATGAGATCTGTTAGCTAAAAGTTTTATTTATTACAAAGACTTACGAATCACATTAAATGAACATCTATATGTTTTATTTATCCATATGTTGGAGGAAATCTTTTCAAAAAATAGTATGAGGTATGCATAAGAAATTCAATTTTATTAAGAGGGTAATACTGGTATATGTTACAAAATGTTATGGTTGTGTTCAAGCTCCAGGAAATCTCTTGATTTAGTTGTATTCAGTTGCAAGACTTGATGACTATTCTATAGAATATAGTATAAAGCATCCAGTGTACATAAAATGTTAATACTTGTTAAGTCTATGTGAAGTGAAAGTTTGTGTAATTTATACCTGAAGATTTAGACTACTTGTCATTAAACTGAAAGAACAGTCAGGGTTAAGTAATGGAGTAAATAAAGAAACAACAGGGGCAATTTCAGTGAGATTTTTGAGTGAGAATGGCTAAGAATGAAACATAACAAAGGAAAATCTTAACATTCTTAGCAGCATTGAAGAGAGAAAGTGTATTTTTGGTAAAATATCCCCAAATACTTGGAGAACGTTTGACTACCCCGATACATGATAAGGAAACTACCTCAAAGCTAAACAGGAAAAGTTTTTTGATTTGGTCCAGCTCATTTTCATGTGATGTAATAGATCTTGCCTGTGATCAGTATTATAAACTTTTGTTTACAGAGCCTAGGCCATTGCTGCCAGTGTTCGTTTGTCTACAATAATGGCAGCGACGTATGTATCGTCACCCTCTTGCTGCGATTTACAAGGATCGATGCCAGCCACGATGGGTAATAAGTTTGTAATGGCTATGTCACATCATATAATTATGTTCCCCAAACGGAGTTTGGGAACATATTGTTTTTACTCTGTTTCTTATTATTATTATTATTATTTTTTTTCTTATTTCTTCTCCGGTACTTTTTTTGTCCGCGAGTGTTCTCAGAAACTGTTCACCCAACTGAGCTAAAACCTTTTTAGGGTTAATAGGTGTGTAGTGTAGGTGTGCGGAACGAAGGTCATTTTGCGCGCATACGCCTGCACGTGCGTGCGCGTGAAATGAGTGAATTGACTGATATACTTAATATAGCTATAACTTTTACATTTTTTGATGAAATGATTTGAAACTCATTATATAAAGATATATTAATACTATAGATAATGTGACACTGTCAATTTAGCATGAACTCACGCGCATGCACGTGCGCTTCACTCTGATTGGCTGAAACAAAAATCTCAATATCTTTTCTGTTTTTTGACAAAATGCTATGAAATTTAAAAATTTATCATGAATTAGGATAACCTACAATATGATATGGAAAAAATTTCATGAAATCACGCGCATGCACGTGCGCTGCAATCTGATTGGCTGAAACTTTAAATGGCTATATCTCCTTTGTTTTTTGACGAAATGCTTTGAAATTTAAAACATAGTCATGCATTAGGATAGCCTGCAATATGATGTACAAAAAATTTCAAGAAATCACGCGCATGCACGTGTGCTGCAATCTGATTGGCTAAAACTTTAAATGGCTATATCTCCTTTGTTTTTTGACGAAATGCTTTGAAATTTAAAACAGTGTCATGCATTAGGATATCCTACAATATGATATAGAAAACATTACATGAAATGACGTGTATGCACGTGTGCTGCAATCTGATTGGGTGAAACTTAAAATGGCTGTAACTCCCTCGGTTTTCAACGAAACAGGATGGGATTTAGAACATAGATAGATATAAGGAACTCCTTCAAGAAGATATGATCATCATGCACGTGCACACACGTGCGTGCATATAGAACGACTGAAATTAAATATACACTTCAATGAGTGATTTTTAATACTTCTTAACTAAATGTTTTAATATAAAGTATATTTAAATATATAGATAGTGTAGACAAGATGATATGATCATTACGCACATGCATTCATGTGTGCATGCGTGCAATGCTAAAATCTGAATATAATTCGTATCCTTCTCGGATAACGTTGTTTAAGTCAAAAATGCACAGAGGTTGTCTTATTTAATAAGGCTTACAGGGAATATGGCACCAAAAGGGAGATGGGGAGTGTTTGGGGAACATCTGTAACGGTTCCCGTTACAATTAGTACTAGTTTTATTTAGAAAAACAATTTTCAATGAAGGTTTACTATTTAGGATTTCTAAGTTTTTGATCTTTACAAGTGACATGCTTCAAAAAAGCCACCCCCTCCCCCCACGATTTTGTAATTTAGAATATTACGAACAGACTTCTAAAGAAACAACAGTAAAACAAGATGTGTTTTTGAAACACATATGCCACTGTATGACAGCTTATGGCTAAGGTTGAATTCTCTCAAATGCATGTCAAACTTCAAAGGTCAAGGTCAAAAGTCTTGGTACCTAAATGAAGGACTGTTACAAGGAATACACCTGTGAAATATGAAAGCCATACATGTAGTTCTAACTGTTCAAATGTTCAAAAGTTATGACCAAGGTTAAAATTTTTAAAAAGTGGGTTAAACTCTTAGGTCCAATGTCAAAAAGTCAAAAATATCTAACCAGCTGAAAGGTCTTGTCACAATAAATGTACTTGAGAATTATGAAAGCCCTAGCTGCAACTGTTGAAAAGTTATGGCCAGTGTTAAAGTGTGGTATTTTTTTTCGTAAAAGTAGGTCGAACTCGAGGGTTAAGGTCAAGAGGTCAAATTTGGTGGTACCCAAAGAAAGGTCTTGTTACAAGGATTACACTGTGAAATATGAAAGCCAGAGCCCAACCCACTCAATAGTTAAAGTCAGACAACAGACAGACAAACAAACAGACAGACAGGACAAAAACAATATACCCCCAGGATCTTTCCTTCTGGGGGCATAATAAAATTGAAACTGAGTGTTTTGCAGGAAATTGTTCATTGTGTTTTTTTTCAGATCTCCATCATTCCATGTGGAGTGGAATGTCATCAAGTACCCCTTCAAACACATCAATTCTCGATTCCAGCCTTTGTCATCTAGAGGGGCTATTGTGACTAATTATATTAGAAGTGGGCAGATTGTGGCGGTAGCCATGAACCAGAACAGACCAGCTCTAACCAGTCTTTTGTTTGTTTCACCTCTCACTGACACTGTTCTTGTGTCCAGCCTTAAAGGTTGTGGGGTCAAGGACAAAAGGTCACTTAGAGGAAGGTAGGCAAGAAATCCCTCACATTCAGTAAACCAAATCTTTTTTCCCCCAACCAATAGTGCTTTATAGAGAGAGATGTAGATTGCATGATTTTCATGCATGTTTCTCTGAAAACATGTTAAAGTTAATTTTGTTCGACAAGCACATCATTTCAACTGGGTAGAGTAAGTTTTAAATTGAAGATATATAATCATTGATAATAAATTTGTGGCAGCCATCAAAGATTTGATTTTTGGTGACATTCTTGGCAATGCTAAGAATAAGAGTTGCCTATAATTCAGTCATAATTACAACACATGTTTGATAGATAAAGTTAACCCTAAAATTGGTCAAAATTAGCAACGCTACATGTAATAATAAATGCCCACTTTTAAGATACCGGTACATGTTTTGAATAAAATTTACAATAAATGACATGTGATCAATCTTGTAATTTAGAAAGATCTGTCACCAAAACAGTATTAGAAACTCACAAATTAACGGTAAAACACACTGTGAAATTGAAGCTTTTCTATGGATGTTTTTAGAAATTACTGGGTGGCAGATATGGCGTGGACAGCAGATGATTTGTTCCTGGTCTGTATAATGAAGAGTGGGTCAGTTTGTGTGGTCAGCCGACTAGGAGAACCACTGATCCTCAACATTCAGGGCCAGGGACTCAATCTGGGACCTTCATACTATCTCCCTCTGCATCCCTTACAGATTATCAGGTAAAAGGCAAGATGCTTTCCAGCATATGTTTTTTTTTCTTCTTCTAAATGTGATCTGTTACCTTGAATGTCACTTTATGTGTCTTAGTATAGAAGATGTAATCATGTAAAAATGACTTTAAAAAAATGGAAATAAAATAAATTTATAAGACTGCCAGAGAGCATTTTGATATGGGCAAATTTGGGGTAAATAAAGTGTGCAGATGTTGACATGAAAGAAGAGTGTTTCAGAAGTGGATCAGTTACCTCAGTGTCTTTCTTGGTATAATGATTCAGCTGTTCTTTAAAAATATATATTTGACAGGCATATCATTTGCTGTGGCATATTGCACTTTATTTCAAAAGCTTCAATTTTTACAGTTTTTGTCTAGTTTGGGTATTCAGTAAAACACATATTTGATTATCTGTTATTGTAAAATTTGGATAAGTTCAACAAATCCAAGTGCATCATTCCTATAATCTAGTAGAGCCTACAGATTCTTCAGAGATTTTTTTATACTACAGCACTGGTGAAGAAGGGAAGGTGTTTTCTGTTGATGGTAGGCCAGTCTCTCCAAGTTCCACCATATCTGAGGCGGATCACATGCGCCAGCGATTTTCTGTCACCACTCATCCTGGATTACCCATAATTCTGTTCTCTGATGGCTTCATGGTCACGGTACTCCAGATCGGTGCAGAGGTCACGTGTTTGTCACTAATGAGGGACCTGATTCTACTGTCATCTCATCACATGCAGAAAATAATGGAACAGGAGAACATGGACCACTCTGTTGTCACGGCTTACAATCTTCCTAACCACTCAGGTTTGTGTTGTTTGCTGCAAGACGCCCCCAAAAAGGCAATGAAAATAAAAGAAATTGTATTATAGCTGGATGATAGTGTAATGAAAATCTCATGGAATAATTTTTTTATCTTCTTTTCAATTGTGCCCTAATGTCTTATTAACGCAGATTCTTGTTTTCATAACTGAACGTGATATTTGTTAATCTATATTTGCTAACGAGAATTAGATGTACGAGGGTCATTTAATAAGTATTAATGATGACAAATACCTACCGTATAAGTGTGTCTACAAGACCGACTTAAATAAAGAGGTAGAGTGAGAAAAAAATGTTGATAAACAACCTTTTTAAAACACAGTCAAAGTTTTATTTCTTCCCACAGGTACAAAGCAAGGCAGATTACCTTTGTCAAAGAAAAAACTTTTTCGGTTTGAAGAACCGGATACCACACTGAACGGCACACTGGACAGTGAGGATACCAGTTTACTGGAACCAGAAAATCGGGGATTTGATGCCCTCAGTCACGGCAAGATCTTATTTGCTGAGTGTGATGATGGTGTGATCGATTTAGACAACACAGCTGGAATGACAAATATTGAGGCCATTGCCAGGCATTTTGAAGTGGCAGAAAATTCTCTCTTCACTTGTTGGAAGTTGGCAGTTTCCTTCACTGATATTTGGAATACAGAGACAGATACAACAACCAAATATGTCACCCATAATTTTGTAAAACTTTTCTCCATCATTCTTGATTTTCCAAACATGGAAGACATTCTCTCCCTTCAACAGTTAAAGCCCTCCACAGCTCAAAATCCAAGACTCTTCTTCATCGTCAACACTTTTAAGAAGATAATGGAACTTTTAAGATTTGACATTATCAATCAGCATCTGATGCCTCCTGCTTTAAAATTTGTTCACCATACTTTAGAACTTGTCCTTAACAACAGAGAACTAGATGCCTCTGACCCAAGAATCAAAACCCTGTCCGGCTGCTATGCCCTCTTGAAATTTTCAGAATCAATTTTGAACAGAGTGTATGTATGGGTGCCCAAGTCCTCTTCTGCCTACACAGGTTTACCTTTAGAGGTCAGAGGTCAACAGAGACATGCCTTTGAACCAGCCATTTTGATGAAGGCTCATCTGTCACCAAGATCTGTTGCAAGGGAGATAATTTACACTGATCCAAGAACTCTTGGTTTGGACCAGCAAGCTCAGCTCCCAGGAAAGAGGTGTTTTTTTTTTTAATTTTAGAGCATTTGAGTGTAAAGCTCAGGTGTTTTTTTTTATGAATGCTTAAGCTATAGGCTCAAGTAAGCTTTTTCTAATCACATTCTGTCCATTGTCAATCTAACTTTTCATATTTTTGAAGAGAAATTTTGTTCAAATAAAAGTCCATTTCGGCTTTCAAAGGGGTGATGGTTAGGAGAAAGGATGAAAATATGTAAAAACTTTATTAAAATGTAGATTCAAGTTTTTTTTTTCAAGTTATGACTACTGGGGTAGGGTGGGCCACAATAGGAAATCAATTTTTTTTTACAAAGGAATATATAGAAAAAATCTTTACATACAATTTCTTTGAATCTTTAATTAATAACAAAGCCATTTTTTAGTCAAATTCAAACATCATGTGTTAAATAAAAATTTAACAATTAATTGATGTCCTACCATTGGTGATGGGTTAAAACTTGACTTAAAAGGAATTTATAGGAAGGTATTTTAACAAGTTTCCGTAAGCATTTGCTTTTAAATTTTTAAAAGATAATTTCGAGGGCCGTTAAAAAATTACATGGACTTGTTGCACAGAAAAAATATTTGACGACATAATCGGGCAAAATGTCACACATGATATAAAAGAATCTTTACTTATATGGTCTTCAAAATTTCATATCAAAATGTTGTAAATTGGTATCATTTTTGAGTGATTTTTCAGGACATATCATTACGTCATGGAGCAGCAAAATCTTCGACATCACGGACATGATTAAAAAATTTTTGATTGAGCTTTCATTTTCTCAACATTTTCTAAAGAGTACCTGTACGGTTTGAGTTACCTTATCTACTCAACATCCAAACACCATTTCTTGTCAAGCTTAAAATCTGTTAAACAAGTAAAGAATATTCTTTTTTGTTTTAAAACCAAAAACGGCAGGTATTTATGAGATATAGTGTGATATTGATGACTCTCAATCACGTTCTTTACAGTCCGGATAAAGTTTTCGTCGATAATCTTCTTCCCGTCCTCCCGTATAGCCTTTTTACAGAGGTCTAACTGTCTAAAATTTCAATTTGCTATTTGTTGACGAATGTCACAAATACCCTAGTTTACCACATGTTTTATTATGCATATTTTAGATCAATGGTGCCGATTTCTCGAGCATTACACATAATTTAACAAAAGTGTGGTGCGCCGTCAATTCAGGAGACGTCATTTTCACAATTGTTTTCACGGGAATTGCATCAGAGAAAAATCACTATATTTCTGTTAGTACTTCAAATATCACTAAATACATAATAATAAAACAATTTAAAGATACATTTGAGAAAATTGTCGAAAGATATCGCGAATTATAGAAAATAAATGAGTTAAATTTTGGATTTTGCATGCTTTTGCTTCAAATTTTTTGTCGTGCTCCGTACCTCTCCATCAGCGATATCTATATACCCATAATTTTAGTATAATTTTTTTAAAATACAGAAATTGTGCCCAAAATTTATTGGAATCTGTAAAGTACATATTTCTGTGAAATTTCATAACTATATGACATCTGTAAGAGTAAATAATAGCACAGTCCACGTAATTTTTGAACGGCCCTCGTATTACACTAATTTTTTAGCCCCTACAGGACTGTTATTTCAAATCATTTGAGTATACATAACTGCAGTTGAGAAAATTGCACACATCCCTATCAATTAAAAATTGTCCAGATCATGACCCAGGGAATAGGGTTTGGACAAAATTGTCAATAAAAGTGTTATATAGAAATACTCAGAAAAAATCTTAGAAGGGCTTCTTCCCAAGAACAGCAAATCCTTGATTGTTCATATTTGTAAAAAAAAATTCTTAGGGAGTGAAGATCAAGCTTATTGAAGTCAAAACCCCTGGGGTATATGAATTAAAATTTTACAATAAGAATATGTAGGAAAAATAATCTGCTGAATAATGGAGAACAGGTGAGTGTTGTGACCCATGGGCCTCTTGCTTATCAATATCTGGTTTTTCCCGGTACCTTTAAAAAATGTCACCAGGTTGAAGATAATAAAATTTGATCGAAATCACAACAGTAAAAGTGCATTTGATATATCATGATCTTCTTTAAATGATTTAGATGAAAACAGAACAAGGTGGGATTTTACGTATGTTCCTCCTCCGCAATAAATTAATATAAGATTTTAATTATATATGTCTATCCATAATTTCTGTAATTTACTTCAAGTAGTGGATTTTTAAGATTTATGATTGTTGTAAAATGTATATTAGGCCATGCAAAGTTAATTTCTTGTAAAAAATATGTATTTTTTTTATTTTTATTGCCCCCAAAACATGATGAGGCAGCTTTTTACATTGTACAAAATCTCAAAAAATAATGAGGGAGGTGATTTGGTGTTTTTATTTTATTGGTTTAGCAATAAAAAGGGTCAATGAGGCACCCTTGGAAGAGATGAGGGAGGGCCTGAGAACCAAGAAATTAATTTTTTTTTGCCTTAGAATATGTTTTTTTCCGTGAAGTAAACCCTCTTTACAGAAGTCTCAAAATCTTCTGTTGGTTGAATGGCTATACAGTAAAACTCATTTAGTACGAATACAGATATTGCAAATTCACGGAAATAGCAAAGTTATCTTGGATTCCAGCTATATAAATTTAACGAATTTCTTATACGGATATAACAAATTACGGATATCCGAAGTAATTTCATTGGTCCCAGTGGCTTTGCTATGACCCGAGTTTTACTGTAATTATAATAAATTCATTTAAATGTGCTGGGCTCAATGTTCATTTATTTGTTTTTGTAACTTCTTGATAGGATCTGATTGATTCAGCAAAATTCAACATAAGGAGGAATTATTTTACCCTCATTTCTGGATTTCTCATACAATTTTGTCTAATAAGACATATTGATTCAGATCTCACATTTATTGATTTTATATCTCACATTTAAAAATGTTAGTTTATAGTAAATCTGGATCACTTAAAGGGGACACTTATCATAAGTTAAAAAAGCATTAAAAATTACAGTTTGAAATGACTTTACAATTATACTCCTTATCTCAGATACTGATTTTTCAAATACTAGAGAAAAAAAAACAAAGAGAGTCAGTAGGCCCAACCACTTTGTGAACTTAATCTTCAACATGTATATATCAAAATCTCTGATGATGTATCGCAGATGTTTGTTAGTCCTACCAGTACTATCCTCCCATCTCTATTGACAGACTGTGTGGGACGTGGAAGCTGCTGTATCGCGGTTTGCTGCAGTTTCAGTCTGATCTCCAGCAACACGGTGGTGCTCAGAGAGATGTGGAGCAGCTACGCAGTCTCCTATTTGCTGTGGAGCAGATCATTCATCAGATAAATGGCAGCGCTCCACCCGATAAATCGGCAACTCCTAAATTACCACAAGGTCAGAAGTCTTGTTGATATAAATGTTGCAACTTCTCAACAATCTCTTGTACTCAATTCTGAATTAAAATCTCACTTGTGAAAGAACAGGAAATCTCAGATAATTGAAAAAGTAGATTAAGTAATGATTTTAGAATATTGGTGAACTTATTATTAAATAACAAGATCGAGTAATGTAAATTAAAAACAATTATTTGATGGTTCCTTGGGGTAAATTATAGGCTTAAATTGCAGTATTTGGTATATTTCTGATGACTAGTGTTCTTACAGCATGGAAACTTTCTTTTTTCTCTGAATTCAACCCCTCTACTCACCCACCAAAAAAATTTTGAAACAAGTAAATTTGTTTTTAAAACAAAAAATAATTAACCAATTCCTGACAGTAAAAGTAGAAGTTGTAAAATGTAATTAGAAAAATAGGTGTGTTCCCATTTCGCCCTAACTGTGAAATACATGTAAGAAAAGACTCAAAAGTACTAAGGCGAAATGGGAATTTTCTTCTGATACAGTTGTATAGACAAACTTGTTGATTGACCAGATGCTTTTGTAATCATGAGTTTAAATTTTAGAGGGAATATTCTATAGGAGTATTTGAAATTCTTGTTTTTTTCGTTTGTATAATGTGTAGAAAAAATAAGCAAAACTTAGCATTTACACAGTGAATGAAATAATACACATTATACTAAATATTCAAATAAAAATATTTTATGCAAAATATGTACTAGCATACAAACAATATTTAAGACAGAATTAGGTGTTTATACAAGTTCCCATCTGGCCTTAATTCACCTAAAAGCTTGCTAAGGCGAAATGGGAATGCTAAATTTTACAGTTAAGGCAAAATGGGAACAAAACGAAATATATATATATGTTATTTTAATACAGGATTTCCTGGAGGACAACTTTATTTAAACTGTTGTCAGGAGGAGTACATGATTCTTTGTTGTAAGACGTCATCTCAAAATTATTTTTTCTTTTACTGGTATGCTGCATTGGTGAATTTAGACCCAATCCTTTTCAAATATTTTGAGGGAAATTTTGCATTTCTAAAAAAATGTATTTTTTTTTCTCAACATTTAAATATCTACCTTTTTAATACAAATACCTATACACTGTACATAAATGTTAATTTAAATGTGAAAATGAAGTGCTAATGAATTAAATTGTTTATGGCCAGTTGCACATGTAATCGTCTCACAAGTGGGTCCTTAGAATTATGAGTAATGTAGAATAATGGAGTGCACAAGACCTAGACCAACCTAGATGGTCAACTTTTTTGAAATTTCACTAAATTTCACTTTACAATAACTTTCATCTACTTGACTGAAAAAGAAAACTTTTGAGATGACCCCTAAGAAATTGGGGTGGTAAACATTCCATTTTTTTAATCTTAAAACAATAAATATAACAGTAAAAATTAATTAACGAAAAATTGTCAAAATCCTTAGGATAGAAATAATTAGACTCGGCCTCATTAAAGAAAAAAAAAACAGGCTGTCAATGCCAGTTATAAATTGCATTTTTAGCTCACCTTGAAAAAAGTTGAGATGAGCTTACTTTGGATTGGGTGTTAGTGTCTGCCTCACAGTTTATGTTTTATGAGTAGGTCTATAAATTATAAGTCCCTCTTAAACCATGGATATTGATCTTGAGATACACTGTACATACTCATGAGAAGAAAATTGTTTTCAGATTTGCCTGATGATGATAACATTTGTGGAGATGAGCTTTGTAATCTTTGATTATACCCATGTTTTTCTGTATAAATTAGAAAGTAAACATCACTATACCTCTTAAAATTTTCTAAGACAATCACATCAACTTTTGGGGAGAAATTGATAATTATTTCCAGTGGGAGTATACGTTCTGCAGTTTAGACTTTTTAATATTGTCTTCACTACTCCCAACAACAAATAGGGTACATCAAATGTGCAAGATGTCAATAAACCTTATGCCTTTTGTAATTAATAGAAATCATGGTGGTATAATGAATATAGTGATAAACTGAATTTTTCAACTTTGGGGGAAATAAGAAATATTATGACTATACTTTGAAATAAGAATTATAGGCATTTTAAACATATTTCTAAAGTGAGAAAATGTTGAATATAAATATATATATTTTTAAACATACAGTAGTTTTGTTTTTAAACAAAGTACACAATAATTATAAAATCAAGACATGCACAAGTACATGCATGTGAACCTGTATGTATGATAAAAACAATTTTGCAATGTCAAATAACATGTCTGTGAAGTTTAAAGCTCTATATGGCACATCTGTCAGCTTAAATATAAAAGTACGAGATTAAGTGTAATTTACATGATATTTGCTATCTTAGTTCAAATTAAATTTTTCACCGATTTTGAACTAAATATCCCCATGTTTCTATAGGTTAAATTAACTTTAAACTGCATGTGTTTGATATTTTTAATCTGAGTGGGAAATAAATCGGTTATTGTTTCAAATCTTGGATATGTATAAAACTCCATTGATTTAAATTGCATAATTTACAGCAAAGTCCTATCTTTATACATAAAGTAACAAAAAAAAATACATAGTTTTTTTTTTTTTTTTTTACTTAAGTCTGAACTTATCAAAAATACACCATATATGACTTTAACAACAGCTTTGTAGCAAAGCCATGGTTAAATCATATTTTACTGAACAGAAAAATGCAGAGAAAACGTTCTTGAAAAATCATAGCTTTATTGCAAGAATGACAATGATTCGAAAGGCACTGATTCAAGAATTGACAGTAATATTAATCTATCAAGAACTCCATTAAATGATGTCTGTTTCACTTATTATCTGGATCCTTAAGAACCCTCTCTTCACTGCACACTAAAGAGTTCTGATTCTATGGCATTTATTGCCGCATTTTTCTTCAGTTAGAGTGATCTGCCCTCAGATTAAAATTCTTAAAAATAGATATTACATTATATAATATTGTATATTACTCAATTTGCATTCACTTAAATTATTAAAACATTTTTAAAGAACTGGATGAATTTATTGAACAAAGTTATTTTCATCGATTTTTTTTCTATGGAAGTAATTAACAGTGATATATCTTCACTGATACTGTATTGTGTTTGATTATTTTTTTCTGGGGGTAAATGCCACGTACCATATTGTGAAAATTAAATAAAAAAGCCTAATATTAACACTTTAAAAAATATATTTTTCTCAATGTTCAAAAAATATTTTGCACTGGTGTAAAAAGGTTCTTAAAACATTTTCTAGAGAAAATCGACAATTGTGTGTACGAGGGCCGTTCAAAAATTACGCGGACTGTGCTATCATTTACTCTTACAGACGTCATAGAGTTATGAAATTTCACAGAAATATGTATCTTAAAGATTCCAAAAAATTTGGCAAAATTTCCGTATTTAAAAAAAAATCTACTAGAATTATCGGTATGTTGATATCGTTGATGGAGAGGTACGGCGCACGACAAAAAATTTGAAGCAAAAGCATGCGGAATCCAAAATTTAACCCCTAAATTTTCTGTAATTAGCGACATTTTTCGACAATTTTCTCAAATGTATCTTTAAATTATTCTATTGTTATGTATTTTGATTTCTGACATGATATTTGAAGTACTAACAGAAATATAGTGATTTTCCTCTGATGCGATTCTAATGAAAACGACTGAGAAAATGACGTCTCGTGAATTGACGGCGCACCACACTTTAGTTAAATTATGTGTAATGCTCGAGATATCGCCAACATAGATCCAAAATATGCATAATAAAACATGTAGTAAACTAGGGTATTCGTGACATTCGTCCACATATAGCGAATAGGAATTTTAGACCGTTAGACCTCTGTAAAATGGCTATACGGGAGGACGGGAAGAAGATTGTCGACGAAAACTTTATGCGGACTGTAAAGAACGTGATTGAGAGTCACAATATCACTCTATATCTGATAAATACCTGCCGTTTTTGGTTTTAAAACAAAAAAGAATATTCTTTACTTGTTTAATAGATTTAAAGCTTGACAAGAAATGGTGTTTGGATGTTGAGTAGATAAAATAACTAAAAATGTACAGGTACTCCTTGGACAATGTTGAGAAAATGAAAGCTCAATCACATATTTTTTTATAATGTCTGTGACGTCGAAGATTTTGCTGCTCCGTGACTTAATGATATGTCCTGAAAAATCACTCAAAATTGATACCAATTTACAACATTTTGATCTGAAATTTTGTAGACCATATAAGTAAAGATTCTTTTATATTATGTGCGACATTTTGCCCGATTATGTCGTCAAATATTTTTTCTGTGCAGCAAGTCCGCGTAATTTTTGAACGGCCCTCGTATAAGTACATCAATTTGAAACAACACAAGCTATAACTGATATGACATCAAACCCGTATTTTGTACACCAGGCTCTGAATTAGTTCAGTAGCCAATTCCACCATGATTTAAGTCAAACTCACAAGAACTAATCTATGACTACATTCTTTGTAATCAATTTAATGTGTGCAACTGGCCAGCATTTTAGGACTGGATGGTTTATCTAGGGACAGGGTGTACATGTGAGTGGATTGAATTGCACTACCTCATACATAGTTATACCTTCGAAACTGGTGTATACCAGTGATAGATGATTTACTTCTAGATTTCCGAAACATAAAATAATTCTTTTCTGGCAGTACATTGATTGTTCAATTTTTTATATCTTTCTACACAAAAATTGTACAAAATGCAAAGTTCAGGTAATTTTTACATGAATAGAAATGAAAATATAATAGAATTTCCCTTAAATTTAAACTGGCAATAATTTCAACATTTAGTTAGTGAAATTATTGTTTCATGGTCAAGACTATTATATAAAACCATAACTCTACAGATCTGCAGCTAATTCAAGAGTTGGTTTATTGTGATTTTTGTCTCCTTCTTATATATAACACAGTCAAAGAGACAAGTAAGCACTGGCTATTAATTGTGTTGTCTGTGGCTTGGGGGTAAATTTTATGGAAGCACGTTCATTTTGAAGATATGTAAAACTATGCACAATGGCAATACACATACCTGGGTGTGCTGCTAAAAGTATATATACAAAAGTCTTGTACATGTATTAAATGTCAAACTTCAACAATTAAAAAAAAAAAAAAATAGAAATACAATACCGATTTCTTATTGGAATGAATTTAATAGCTATTCAAGTTACTCTGTGTAACCTCAGTTGGAGCAGCTTTTGCTCTATGTTAAATTATGAAGCACTTAAAAAAATAAACTACATACAAATGAAGGTAATCAGAAAGATGTATATGATTTTGAAATGTCAATTTGAGACATATGGTAGGAAATACGATTTTAATTATATGATACATATAACCTAATTTTTTACCCAAACAAATTGTGTTTTACAACAAAAATAAATTATAGAATAAATCTTCTTTGGAAAAAATCAAAGGGAAAAGGTCACCATAAGAAAAACAGTTCAGATTAAGTCTCAATTCAGATAGTCTTCTGTTTGTCTGAAAAAAGTGTGTCTTTGAACTCTAAAACTCTTTATTATTAGTTATACCTTATGTTCTTTTCTATGATCTCGCAGACAACTAAAAATGTTTTACCAATTATTTCAGGGGAGAAACTTAGTGTAGATGGCATGCATACCAGAGCAGTGGATGCTTGGAAGCAAGAAATACAGAATATGACCGGTAGATACTTTCATATTTTCATATTTAATGTTGATTGAACAATTTTTTCAGACTGATGCTTTTTTGTGATGAACATTGTATATGCATATATTACATCAATTACTATACCTATATAAGAATCTGTTATATTTAGATTTACTTTTAAATGTAATAAAATCCTTTAATTTTGAAGATAAAGCAGAAGATGCTGAGAGAGTAAGCAAGGTGCTCCATTCTGTTTTGTACACCTACATCATGAGGGGTGAATTAGGTAAAGCCGTGGACTTTGTAGACTCTCTAGTTGTCCAGGGCAACGTTTCTGACTCGATTCTGGACCACCAGCTGCCTGCTAGTGGACCGGGGCGAGAAAAGCCCCCACTCATGACCATAGTTTACGACTCCATGAAGAGAGAGGTATAGAAAAAAATTCATATGAGTATCCAGCATGTCCACATCTTTTAAGTCAAGTATTATTAGAAATATGTATAGATTATTTCGCTTTGTTCAATGCTTGTCTTGTAGCCTTACGGGGGAGAACACCAAGTCCCTTGTATCAGGGATCGGGGAGTGAGACAGCTGGTTCAGAGCATGGCCCGATTCATGGCAGCCTACTTTACCAATGAGACCCTGTACATATTCCCTCCCCATAGTCCTCAGCCACTTCCCTCCATCCACCTGGGGGCAAAAATCAAAGGTATAATGACAGGTCAACAAATTCTCATATAGTCATCATAACAGATCTTCATATAGTCATCATAAAAGGTCAACAAATCCTCATATAGTCATTATAACAGGTCAACAAATCTTAAAATAGTCATCATAAAAGGTCAACAAATCCTCATATAATCATTATAACAGGTCAACAAATCTTAAAATAGTCATCATAAAAGGTCAACAAATCCTCATAAAGTCATCATAACAGGTCAACAAATCCTCATACAGTCTTTCTTCATAATAAGTCAACAAATCATCATATAGTCATTTTATTTCACTTTAATTTATGCTTGGTAAAATTTGACTTAAGATCTGAACTCACAGTGCAAACAACAGTAATGTAGCAAACATATTTTTCATGAAAATACAACTGTGGTAAACAAAAAAAAAATTAATTGATTGTATTTACATGTAAAAAGGCCATGAAAAAGAAATATATGTATACAGTGAATTTGTGCTTTTAATTTAATGTTTATGTACAATATACTGAGGATTACATGTATTATTGTGTAATGAATACTTGCTTTATGATAATCAATCAACCCATATCGAAAATAAATATAAAAATAATACATTAAAATAATACTAAAATAATACAAAAAAAGTATATTTTTAATGACCAAATTTGGAACCCTTTTTATCTTGGTTCCAAATTAGGTCAAAAATAATACACTTTCTTAGAAATGAAACACAAAAAAATATATTTTTAATATACTTTATTTCTCAGTAAAAATACAAAAATAATACACTTGATGTATTTTTTCTGTACTCTCGTATTTTTTCTGTATTAAATCCTTATCCAAAGTACAAAAATAATACAATTTAGAGAAGAACTAAAAAATACAGAAATAATATAAAATGTATTAATTTTGTATCAGTCTATTATTTCTGTATTATTTGGAGCACCTTGAAAAAAAAATAATAGGAAAATAATACAAAAAGTATTAATTTTGTATCAGTCTATTATTTCTGTATTATTTGGAGCACCTTGAAAAAAAAATAGGAAAATAATACAAAATGTATCAATTTTGTATCAGTCTATTATTTCTGTATTATTTGGAGCACCTTGAAAAAAAAAAAGGAAAATAATACAAAATGTATTAATTTTGTATCAGTCTATTATTTCTGTATTATTTGGAGCACCTTGAAAAAAAATAGGAAAATAATACAAAATGTATTAATTTTGTATCAGTCTATTATTTCTGTATTAAAATCGATTTTAAAACAAAAAAAATCTAAAAATAATACATTCTGAAAGATACAAAAAAATACATTTAGGAGTTCAAAAAAGGTACAAGAATGATAGACAAAAAGTACATAAAAAAGCTTAAAATAATACAAAGCAGTGCCTAGAAAAGTACTAAAAACGTGAAAACTTCTTCTTAGATGCAGCTTTCAATCAGATTTTAAAGAGAAATGGCTTTAGATTACTGATTTAGTTACTTTTTGTGCAATAATCTTGATCTTTTCTGTCTTACATACAGTATTCACTCTTCAATTGTCCTCATTTCTAAGTCATGTTTTATCAATCTTATTGTCTTTGTAAATTGTACATTTATAATGAGATATGAATTCAAAAGTCTAGATCTCTCTGCTTTGGGGTTTCTTTTGCACAGCACTTTACTTTATTGAAGAAGTACATCTCCAATTTTCTCACTGTCATCCTGCTTTGTCCTGCATAACCTTAGACTACAAAATAGAATATCAAAATGTACTGGGGTATATCAAAAATAGATGCACAGACACATACAAAAAGAAATCTTCACATGATAAGCTGATATTGTCATTTGTTAATGTTACACACCTGTAATGCTTCAAGGGGTAGGGTGGAAGGGTGGGTGGGTGGGTGTCCTATTCCTCTATAACTAATCAGCTTTTCTTCTTTGGCTCTGTAGAGGCACTCAAACTGAAAAAGTAATGATACTAATAAATGTTTTGCAGAACAGGTAGAAATACAGACCATTAAAAAATGAAAATATAAAACTGTCAATACACCTCATTGGAATTGGGGTGGGGGGTGGGGGTCATCATGATTTGAAATCTTAAACTGATATTGGGGAAGGAAAATATGGATCATCATATATTGATATAAAAAATTAGTTTGTGCCCAAAAAAATCTTTCTTACCACCTTCTTCTCAAGTCATTTTTGAAATAATTATAAGTATGCTAAACCATAAATCCATGAAGCTTAGCTGCAATGATTACCCCCCCCCCCTTCACTTTTCAAAATTTAAATGGTTGTATGCCAAGATGGTTTTATCTGTTATTATTCCATGTTTAGGCCTGAGGGATAGGGTGAAATTAATTTTTAAGTCATTTTTGGTCCATGTAAATAATATTATTTGCCATTGAAAGCCCGTAATTATCCATACAATTCAAGATAGAAAGTAGCATTACAAAACTCTCTTTCGCCACAAATCCAACATCTCCAATATATCTGCATTCAATTTGACCTACTATGAACTGGTTATAAAAGATATTATTAACATTTATTAATCTACATTTCACATTTTAAAAATTGAACCTACTGTGCTATTTTATGTAAATTCTTACCGCATATGGCGTTGTTTACACCAGGAAAGCCAGGGCATGATGCTTGAAAAACGCCAACCTCCTTCCGTTTTCGCTTTTCTTTGTTTATAAATGTGATCCATGCTAACATGCTGTAGCTAAACATCTATTTTCTACCAATTTCATCGGCGAATATTAGCTAAATTTTTATTAAACATCACCAACTCTCTCGATTCGGTTCGTCGATCTATTTTTCAAAATGGCGTGGGTAAATTACCATTAACCAATCAGAGAAAAGCAAAGAAAAATTTTAAAATCTGACCAATCAAATGGCTCCTTATTTACGAAGATTTTCGATTTTTAAATATAAAATATTTTTAATAGTCTAAGGAAATGTATTTATGTACGAAGTCTAATAAGTAATATGGAATTAATTTAATAAACCCTTGATCATTACTAGAATAATTATTAGGATCATTTCTTATAATCTTTATATTTGTTTTTAAGAAATTTTCCGATTACAGATGAAAGATTTCTGGGCAGCCATATTGTTTTGTTTTTGTTTTTTTTAATTAAACAAGTTGACCTGTAAAGTAGACCATAAAGTTCAAGAAGAAGGATCAATTTAGTGTTAAATCTAAAGCAAAATAACAAGGTATAGAGCCATGCCCCCTTTCCTCGGCGCCATGTCCTTTATTCCTAACAAAAAATTAATAAATATTCCCAGTGTAGGCAATATTCCTTAGCTGTTCTGTTTATTCAGTGCATACTGATAATCTCTTGTTTACATAACGCAACCAAGTGTGAATTCACGACAGGAAATCACTTCACGCTTGAGCGCAGCACACAGCCACCTGGCTAATTAACATGCCTCAGGCTGTCAGGGTAGAAGATTTAACTTGAGAAACTGTCATTTGATTGTATTGATTATACAAGAATTAGCCCAAGATCAAACATAATTAACTTGTAAATTATTAACTAATTAAAATCAGGATCATTTTTTTTTAAACTGAGAGTAGAATTAAACACAGAGTTGAAGAAAAACTGATATTTTATCTGAATAAAAACAACTTACTTTGTACCAAAAACTGAATGTGATGTGACAAAAGGCTAAAAAAACAACAACTTAAGTTAGTTTCTTTGAATGTAGTGATAAATTTGACAAGCTGAGGGTCAACGTTTCTTATTTAAGCCAATTTTTTCAAAACAAATTTATACATGGCATTATTTATTTATTTTTTTTTTTTGGGGGGGGGGGGATCAATTTTCACTTGATAATGTTGGTAGATTATTTTCCAAGTAAAGAGAATAGTCTCTACATGTATTTTCCAAAAATGCCCCCCCCCCTCCTTCCCTGGAAAAAAGTATTTTCGTTTAATGTTTAATTAAATTGACAGTACTACTACACAAATAACACAGTCCAAGCAGGTTAGAAAAAATTTATACTTCCAAACTTTAATAATTTTTGCACATGTTTCAGCTAACATTCTCTAGTGTAAATATCTATCTTAAACACTCTGATAATTTAATTAGGAAACCTACTAGACTTGAACATTGTAAGCTCATTTCTTGAAATTTATTTAGGATAATTTGAATATGATTCCTTCTCTGAGCGAAAAAAATGCACATGTATACTAAAATCTGAAGAAAACATCGTATGCATGGTAGTTGGGACTTTCCATGTGCACAGGTAAATCACGTGATTTCTGAATTGTAGTATTATGCAATCATTTGTTAGCCTGCAAGACCACCTGTTGTGTGATAGATCTAAACACGTGAAAGATGTAAACCCGCTGAAAAGTTAATGTAAACCCGCTGTAAAATCTTCATGCCCAAGATGGAAATATTTCTCTGGATTACCACTGATTGAGATTAACATAAATTTTAGTACCAATTAATTATTTAAGTTCTATTTAAGTTAATTTCTCTAATATTTATAAAGTTCATAAAGACAAATGTAAATAGAAAAAATATGTCTAAATTTAACCCCCCCCCCCAACAACAAAAAGAAATAGAGACCAAATATATGGAATTTTCTGTAAATGTACTAAAATCAAATTTGAGACAAAAAATACTGACCGTCTTTCTGTAAAATTACCAAGTCCAAATTTAATATAAAAATAATACAGAAAAACTGTGTAAAATCACTAAGTCTAAATTTGATATAAAAATAATACAGACAAACTGTCTGTAAAATTATTAAGTCCAAATTTAATACAGAAATGATACAGACTAACTGTATAGACTTCTCTGTAAAATTACTAAGTTGAAATTTGATACAGAAAAAATACATCTGGATAAAATTAAGTCCTGAAATAATACAAAAATAATACACTGAAAATAATGTAAGTCCAAAAAAATACAAAAATAATACACTGAAAATAATCTAAGTCCAAAAAAATACAAAAATAATACACTGTACAAAATCAAAGTCAAATTTTAATACGAAAATGATATACTGAATTTTTTGTGATAGGAAAATAATATATTTTTTCTGTATTATTTTAAGAAAGTACAAAAATGAATGTATTAAAAGTATATTAAAAATATACTTTTCTGTATTATTTTTTGATATGGGAAGTGAAAGCTTTAACATTTCAGTGACTTTCTTTACAGACAGCCGAATCATTCCTAAGTACCATGACAACATTAACTCCCAGATAACTAAGGAGGGACTGAGTCGAGTGTGGACGACAGAGCGGGCCCTAGAGTACCTGTTACTGAGTGGTCTGGTGTGTGAAGCCGCCTGGTTCGCTGATCAGATGGGGGACTGGAAAGTAGGATTCCTCCTCTCAGTGGCCTGTACTCAACACAGAAGTATTGCCCCCCAGGTGTATAAAAAGTGAGTCTGGAATAGAGGACAGGGGGATTTAAAGGCAGAGATTTTTTATCGGGTGGTAAATTCCAGGTGAGGGAGGGGCTTATTTTGTACAGGTGTGAATGCCTTGGGGGCTAGCAGTCTACCTGTGGTCATCTGTCTCCTAATCCCTATACACAGGAAGTGATTTAATACACAGTGAAATACCCCATGTGTCAAACTTTACCTGTATTGGGGATTTTGAAACAATTTTAAATTAGAAGTGAAAATTTGTAAGTAAAGTTTTTCCTCAATAATCCATATTAATCCTTTTTGAAAGTACCCCATTAAAAAAATATCATGATATCATAATATAAAATTTTATTCAAATACTTAAACAAAGATTATTTTAGATGTTTGTGTATGTGTTAATTTTTTTTTTAAAAAAGTACATTTCATAAAAAAAAAAAATAACTGGGTTTATCCCAATTTTTGATAAGGCTTTGTCACCATGAAACATGCTAAAAAAGATTGCTGAATAAGCAAGGAAAATGTAAGCAAACCATGATAAAAAACATTTATAAATATTTAAAATTTAATTACTTCACATAATGCTGCTCTAAACTTAATCAGTAACATTTCCACATTAGGTTTACCGTTTTTAACGTATTAAAATTAATATAAAAATTTCATTTGAAAAAAAAGTTTTTATGCACCAAAGTTGATTTTTAAAAATGCATATTTTATTATAATCCTATTAAATACTATAAAAAAGGTATATTTAATTCATATATTAGCAAGCTAAAATTTCTATAGTGATACAGTTTCTCTATACCATGTTTGATAAACATCAAAGGATCAAAAGTTAATTTGAAGGTCCCAACGAGTGCCAAACAAGGTGTACAGGGTATACACAGGAACCAGTAAGTAAATGTCAATCAAGTTCCAGCATCCAATGATGGACATTCAGGCACTTGATTGACAGGGCCACCCAGACCAGGTGTTTTTGAAGGCTGTGCTTAAAATCTCTGCCTTTAAATTAATTTTGAAGAGGAAAGGATAAAAATAGCATCAGGGTGTTTTTGATAAGCTCGTATGAGTCACTGTTAGGACAGAATTCATTCTCTATTTGTCATGAAAAATCATTCATTTTGTTGAATGCTATGAAAGGAAACTATGAAAGGAACTTTTTAGTGCTTTAATAATTCTAATACTTAATAATTTTTGGAGAGAATAAGGTTACTGAATAAAAAAAGGAATCAACATTTTTATAATGCTTGTATTTTTTTTTAATGAATGCATGTTTATTATGTACCTAACTAAGCTACATGACAGAAATTCTTACTGGATAAATATTGTCTTTTATTGAAGAAAGAAGAAGCCATTAGAAATCCCGCACTTCTTAGAGCCAGCCTCCCTCCTACAGAAAAAGTTAGAATCTCTTGTCCACCTCCACAGAAGAGGGGGGCAGAAAGGAAGGGCAGAGCAGGAAGCTCACAATGAAGGTAAATCACAGTACTACAGGGGAAAGGGGGGGGCAAAGAGGTAAAAGATGTAAAGGGCAGAGAAGGAGACTCACAGTGAAGGTACATCACAGTACTATGGGGGAAAGGGGGGGAGGGGGAAGGAAGGAAGGGCAGAGCAGGAAGCTCACAGTGAAGGTAAATCACAGTACTACAGGGGAAAGGGGGGGGGGGGCAAAGAGGAAGGGCAGAGCAGAAGGCTCACAGTGAAGGTAAATCATAGTACTGTAGGGGGGGGGGGGGGGGGGGCAAAGAGGAAGGGCAGAGCAGAAGGCTCACAGTGAAGGTAAATCACAGTACTATGGGGGGGGGGGGGCAAAGAGGAAGGGCAGAGCAGAAGGCTCACAGTGAACGTAAATCACAGTACTGTAAGGGGGGAGGGGGGAGCAAAGAGGAAGGGCAGAGCAGAAAACTCACAGTGAAGGTAAATCACAGTACTACAGAAGGGGGGAGAGGAAGAGCAGAGTAGGAGACTCACAGTGAAGTTAAATCACAGTACTATAGGGGGGCGAAGAGGAAGGGCAGAGAAGGAGACTCACATTGAAGGTAAATCACAGTACTATAGGGGGGGGGGCAAAGAGGAAGGGCAGAACAGGAGGCTCACACTGAAGGTAAATCACAGTACTATGGGGGGGGGGGCAGAAAGGAAGGGCAAAACAGGAGGCTCACACTGAAGGTAAATCACACTGTAGGGGGGGGGGGGGGGGCAAAGAGGAAGGGCAGAGCAGAAGGCTCACAGTGAAGGTAAATCACAGCACTATGGGGGGGGGGGGGCAAAGAGGAAGGGCAGAGCAGGAAGCTCCCAGGATAGTTAAGTCAAAGTACTATAAGGAGAGGGGGGCATTGCCCTGTGTTGTATTTATTAATGTAATCTATATTATCTTCTACAAGATGTAAACCATGTTGTTTCCACTTGTGAGAATCTTTCATACTTCACCTAACTCTATTCCCTTAGGCCTATACCTTTTCATCCTTTCCCCCTTCATGACACGATTTGACTCCAAGATCCAAACCCTTAATGAACGACTTTTGACATGTATATTCTATTGTTAATTTAGCTTAAATTCCAGTATTAACTCTGTTTCCACAATAAATTTGATGGGTTTCATAGACAGTGGTGAACAAATAAATGCATGTGTCCTAAAAGCAAGGGTAAATGTCTGCTTATTAACTACAAAAGAGGCACGTCATAGATGAACTTTTAGTTAATATCCACTGATAAATCCACATTCTTTAAATTTTGATATATTATGTATTAAATATAAATTCACCCAGCATATGTTTTATTACTTGCTTCAGTTTATTAATACAAAGTATGAAAATTAGGAGGAGAAACTTTTTGAAGTCAATGTTTTGAGGTGTAAATTGTTACATTAATGTGGTGGATAAGTGTTAATGTGGTAGGTTGTGTTTTCACTGTGGAGGAGCAAGATAATGAATTTGTGTAAATGTCATTTCATGGGAAGAAGGAAATAATAATACAAAAAATAATACTATTCATACCATTGTTTACATATTCTGCTAATTTTGAATATAATATGTCCCACATGACTCATTTTAGAGGTTTTTTTCCTTTCAGAAAACATTGTCCCCAACACGATCACCCACTTTAATTTTCAGAAAGGTTGTGTAATATCCTTTAAATTTAAAAAGTGACATTTAATTCTCAAAATCTTTGTGGGCAATGCATGCACTCTATATTATCTGAAAGGAAATTTCACTGAAAATTGAAAATTGATGTCTTTTGTTAAAATGCGGGAAAGTTCATAAGTGAATCATGTCACAATTAGCATTTAGGAGGTCATATGAGAAAAAAGATTTGTGTATTCTTACTGCATGGAATTCCTATGATTCAGAAAGGCTGCATGATTTTTTTGTTTCTTACATCACTTCTATATTTTAGAAAAATGCAGGGCCAAATTTGTATTGAAACTATACCTTGTTCTTTGTTAGCTCTACTGGTCAGAGACCAGAAGAGCTTTGCGATAGTAATGCGTCCGTCGTCCTTCCGTCTGTCTGTAAACAATTTTTCAAAATGCTACTCCTCCTTTAGTTTTGGTCAGATTTCAATATAACTTGGCACACAAGAAGACTACACTAAGATACATAATTCTTTGTGTCGGTTTTTGATTTCGATGAACAGTGTTGCCATGGTTACTAAAAATAGAAATTTTTGAAAAATTCTTTCAAATTGCTACTCCTCCTACAGTTTTGGTCTGTTTTCAATATAACTTGCCACACAGGTAGACTACACTAAGATACATAATTCTGTGCATCGGTTTTTGATTTTGATGAACGGTGTTGCTGTGGTTACTAAAAATAGAAATTTCTTTGAAAAACTTTAAAAATGCTACTCCTCCTACAGTTTTGGTCTGATTTCAGTATAACTTGGCATACAAGTAGAATACACTAAGATACATAATTCTATATATCGGTTTTTGATTTCTATGAACGGTGTTGCCCTGGTTACTAAAAATAGAAATTTCTGTAAAATTCTTTCAAATTGCTACTCCTCCTACAGTTTTGGTCTGTTTTCAATATAACTTGCCACACAAGTAGACTACACTAAGATACATAATTCTGTTTATCGGTTTTTGACTTAGATGAACATTATTGCCTTGGTTACTAAAAGTAGAAATTCCTGTTAAATACTCTCAAAATGCTACTCCAAATACCATTTTAGTTTAATTACAATATAATGTGGCATGCAAGTAGACTACACTAAGAACATTAAATGACCTAATCAAGGATCATTTTTCTATTTATTACTGTTGTAAAGTTTCAATTCCCAACTGCTTAAGTACTTTTCCTTTGTTATAAGTACAAACCAGTAGAGCTTCAGTCTCTACAGAGACTTCTGGTTTTTAATTTCTTTTCGAAGTTTGTTCAAGCAACTCAAAAATAATTCTCTGCTGTTATGTATTTGTTTCAATTTGTTGTATTTTTTTTTTTACTTAAACAACTGGTAAGGGCACTGATTTAGTTTGATTCCGATTTCTTTGGGTTGATGAGTCTATGACCCTTCTAAGAGTGCTTGTTTGTACCTTCTTTTTGAAATCATAAAAAAATTTGTCTCTTTGAAATAAAACTAGACAGTATATACAGACCTTTGAATAATTATAATCAAAGAAAAATTTAGAATTATTTGAATTTTTCAGGTTTTATTCCAATAAGTAATGAAACAAACATCATCCAGTTGTCTAGAACGATGGAAGACATCATGACAGCAGGGATTATGAGTGGTGTGGAGGTGGTACCCTGGCTTTTGACAACCCTTGTCCACCGCCTGATGGACACAGTGGCTCAGTTGTCCCCCTTAGTCCCCCAGGATTTTTATCTCCCTTCCCCTCCCCTCTACTGCCCCCAGCCGGCAGACACAGAAAAGGTGAAAAAAAAAAATGTTCTTCTGTTAAACCATATTAAATCAGTAAAATCTCTAAATTTGTTTTAAAATGCTTCTTTTTGTCCAATTTCATGTATACACAAGTTTTTGTATTAATATATTACAGTAAAGTTTGTTTATACACACAGATATAGCAAATTCAGATACAGTGGAGCCTAAACAATTCTTTGTAAAATTTTACGGTTATAACGAACTCTGATATAGTGAATTTACGGATATAACGAACTCATTTTGAATCCCGTAGAGATTAAAAATAATAAAATTTACATCTTTTATAATAAATTTTCAAAAAGTAGATTTATTACCAGTTAAACAAAATGCAAAAATAAGAAAACTTCAAAAATTATGTTTTGTAAATATCCCTCCATATTCGGAATACTTGAAAAACATGCATTCGTGATATATGTAGTAATACAAATTCTTTATACAAAAACAACGAAGTACATGTATAGTGAGTTTAGGTCCACTGTATATCACTTTCAAAATTTCAACAAAAGATGTTGCCATGTTTACAGAATGTTTACATGATGGAGTGTTAACATTTCATTTATTTGTAAACTAGGGACAGTAGAATGGCAGGTTTTACACAGGTTATATATTACAGGATAAGAGATCAGTAGAAGTACAGGTTTTATACAGGTTATATATTACAGGATGGAAGTCATTTACTTGTAAAGTAGGGACAGTAGAGTTACAGGTTTTATACAGGTTATATATTACAGGATAAGAGATCAGTAGAGGTACAGGTTTTATACAGGTTATATATTACAGGATAAGAGATCAGTAGAGGTACAGGTTTTATACAGGTTATATATTACAGGATAAGAGATCAGTAGAGGTACAGGTTATATACAGGTTATATATTACAGGATAAGAGATCAGTAGAGGTACAGGTTATATACAGGTTATATATTACAGGATAAGAGATCAGTAGAAGTACAGGTTATATACAGGTTATATATTACAGGATAAGAGACCAGTAGAGGTACAGGTTATATACAGGTTATATATTACAGGATAAGAGATCATTAGAGGTACAGGTTTTATACAGGTTATATATTACAGGATAAGAGACCAGTAGAGGTACAGGTTATATACAGGTTATATATTACAGGATAAGAGACCAGTAGAGGTACAGGTTATATACAGGTTATATATTACAGGATAAGAGACCAGTAGAGGTACAGGTTATATACATGTTATATATTACAGGATAAGAGACCAGTAGAGGTACAGGTTATATACAGGTTATATATTACAGGATAAGAGACCAGTAGAGGTACAGGTTATATACAGGTTATATATTACAGGATAAGAGACCAGTAGAGGTACAGGTTATATACAGGTTATATATTACAGGATAAGAGATCAGCCGAGGTACAGGGGGAGAGTGCCCTGAGGTTCCAGGCTTCCTCTTTGATTCAGCTGATCCTGATCGTCCTGAACAGTGCTCACATCTCCCTCCCCGTCACCCGCTGGTACATACAGGAGCTCAACAATGTCCAGGAAAGGGCCGCTCAGTTCAAGGTAAATAGGGGATACTCTCTAGTCGGTTTGATTTAATGACATATATTATTAATTATCAAAATCAGAACAAACATTTTACAAACAATTTCAAGTCTTTCTCTGTCATGGAAGACCAAAACTAAAATTTTATTAAGTAATTGATATGTATAAAACCCCAGTCACATTTCCAAAAACGACCAACGGCCGACGGGTTTTGAAGCAAAAATGGGATTCTTCGGGTGACAGTCGTCAGTCATCGGCCGTTGTCTTGCCCGTTTTATACCTCTTATATATTCGGCCGACCAATTTTGTGTCTAACGGTCCATGTTATAATTTTTTATGCGTCGGTGGCCGATTTCTTCAACTGAAAATATACGTCGACCAACCTTCGATCATCGTCCGACCATCGGTGGTCAGTTTATTAAGTCAGTCGTCCGTCGTTGGACAATAAGGGTGTTTAAAAATTCGGCCGACGCTTAAAATCAAACTGTAGCTCAGAGCTCGATGATCGGACGACGATTGGCCAACTTGTGAATATTTAACCTAGTAAGGATACATAACACAAACAAAATTTTGATGCATGGATTGATATAAATTTTTTGAACGGAAATAACATGAACAATTAATCCCTAAGATACATGTATAAAGAAATCTTAAGTATTCTTTGCTGCTTAGTCTAAAAGATATGCACCATTTGTCGATTTTTTGCAATCCCATACAAAATTTTGCACACATTTTCAACACTGAGTCACAATTTTATAAGATTATGCCACTTTGCCTTGCAAACATTACTCACGTCACATATCTGAATATAGATCTATGAAAAAATATTGCTGAATTCTAAAGAAAAAGGATTTTTTGTGTTATTTATCCAAGTCATCGGTGTCTCTAGGAATTAATGTGACTGCTCTGTGTCGCCCGACACTGTATCGGCCGATCATGTTCTTTCAGCTGACAAGACCAGAAAAATTTAGTCGCCCGACCATCGGCTTAAATGTGACCTAGGCATAAGTCCTCAGTGATATGAAGAAAAAAACCTCGACAATTTGTGATGTGCAGAATAGCCTAGTAGAGGAAGGCTATTTCTATGCCTTTGTCTTTGGAAAAAAAATAGAATAGAAATAAATCTTTTTTTTTTTTTTGGTTTTAAGTCCAGTAGATATTGTGCCTATGAAATATTAGAATGGATTTTAAACTTCAGTATCTCAAACATTGATATCTGTATACCATGGATGGATCAAAGCCCATTGGAGAATTATAAATACTTCAATAATTTTCTACTATTTTGCAGTCTACCACAGAGGGGCCTTGTTTGGAGTTTCCAGAGGTCTTACAACAGTTTAAGGAGGTGGAATCCTCACTGAGAGCTTACCTAGACGAGGATGCTGTAAAACAAGTCCTCCTGGGATTTAGAGACTTCTGTTCACTGTTATGGCTCCTCCATGTTCGCGATAAACTGTCATTTAATTTACGCAGCCGTGAAAAATACCTCAATGATGTCAACTATCAGGATTATTTAAGGGTAAGAAATTGATAATTAATAGTGCATGAAGGATAAGGTCTGAGTACCTCTCTGAATATCTTATTCTGAAATGATGTCTAGATCCCATGAATAAAGTCTGTTGTCCATCTGTCCTTCTATCCATCTGTAAACTTTTCACATTTTCAATTTCTTCTCAAGAACCACCGAGCCAATTTTAACCAAAGTTGGAACAATGCATCTTTGGGAAAAGAGAAGCTTACTGTGAATTTTCGTTGTTTCAAAGTATGAAGAGACCCATGTCCACCACGAAATGTAAAATATTAAATACATAACTGCTCAACAATTCTTCATCCATGAATTCAAATTCCCACGAAGCAAGAGATTACTCAAACCACGAAAATTTGACCCCACGAAAATATGTGATTTTACAGTAACCAGGGTTCTCCACAAGGGGTTTAACCATGGCGGCCCGCCATGGTTAAATTTATGTGCGCCATGGTTAAACGAGCTGCGCCATGGTTAAAATCGGCAGCCGCCATGATTAAGTTTTATTGCGTTTCAGTCCTGATACCTACTTTTTTAATGACTTGAGTAGTTAATTGTGTTTATACTACGACTGCCATGCAACTCGCATGTCTTGAAGGAAAGAGGACTGTGCTAAACAAACAAACCGTTAATCGGCGACTATGCTGTGAAGCGTGACAATCAATGGAGAGTCAATTAGCTGATCAGATGATCAATATTTTGAAAGTTTATTATCCTGTACACATGTAAATAATTTTGGGGAACTACAACATGTTCGCTACATGATTAGATAACGGGTTTATGAAAAATGACAATTACGAGCTTGATAATCGTCATGCATGCGATTCAAGTTTCTGTGCCAGAAAAGAATACTAGATGTAAAATTTAATATTCCTCTGTATTTAATCAATTTCCCATGCTCTGGTTTTTTAATCTTTAACTATATTATCTTTCTGATAAAATGTGAAGGCCTACGTCTCAATGACCGTCTAAGTTTTAGAGTTACTCCCCGTTGTTATGAAACTGACGCATGGCACTATTTTTAGCACTGGGGCACGTGGAGAAGTAAACAAAACTTGGTGAAAAATGCAATATGTAGAAAGATAAGATGTTTAGAAAAAAAGGGACACGGGATCAATTCCTTTGTGTATTAACTTAAAAAATTACTACCCATTCATCAGTTTTAGTCATATTTAATTAAACATTTCATACAACAGGCTACAACAATTCTGATAATTATTAATTTCTGAATAATATTGCCATGGTTACTGTATCAACAATTTTTCTTTAAATTCTTTCAGTAGATTACTACAGTTTTGGGCGAATTTTGGTTCATTTTTGAAGTAAGATACAGGATAAATCATGTTCAATTTTAATTATTATTGATTTAATTTTAAAAAGTGTTAGATATTCCATTGTTTTGTGTTGCAGTGGTTAAGTTTGAAAAATTGGAAAAACCAATCATTGATTAATGAAGATTAGGAAGTCTTAATCTAACAAGCATTCATGTTTTTGGTCACATTTCGCCCTTGCGCAGCTTCCTCCATGGTTAAATTTTCAAATGTGGAGAACCCTGAATAACTTGTTATAATAAAGGGCAAAGCTTCCTCACAAGAGGAGATAATGAAGAAAAGAATAATATAGGGACATTTAGGGTTAGGTCATTAAAAAATAGGGATGACAATTTGTAACCTGTTAATCGATTACTCGGTCAGAACGATGGCAATTGGTTAGAAAATCTGTAATCAAGTACCCCCGGTAGTCGAAAAAATAAAATATATATGTATGCGTTTGAATGCAATTTTCTTAAAATTCATTTTTAAAAATTCTGCATAAGCGTTGATTATTCAGGGTTTTCACATATCCAAGCTGACTTAGATGTAATTATGGATCTTCTGATTGAGATTGTTGGGAATTGGTCATTACGTGTTTGCAGTGTTAATTACTGTTAAAACACCAAGTTGTTACTCTGACCATCCTGTGATACTTTGATAATAATTAAATCACCGTTGAGCATTGGAATTAGAATGTTTTATCTTTTGCAGTTATCCATCGAATAAAATACGAAACAAACATTGTACATTAATTAAGTGATGTACTTCAGACTTAGTTTTGACAATGGAGAATGAACTTATGTGAAATCTACTTTTGAAAAATATCAATGTCTGATTTCTCAGACATGATTCGTGGTTTTATTAATTTTTTCTAGTCTACTGAAACTGAATAAAAGATATATGTATGTATGTATTTAGTTTTCTTATCAAGAATTAAGACAAATTGAATGATTAATAACTTCTAGACTTTATTAGTCTTCTTTTGTATATGAATAGCCTTTGGGGTGTACTTAGGAAAAAAGTGTATCAAGAAAATGTGTACTTTGATACGGTGACTGATTAATTTGTGGGAACGCCTTGTGGTTAATCAATTAGCAATTCTGTATTCAATTGCCATCCCTTTAAAAAAATCTTCCCAAGAACCACTGAGCAAGAAAAGGAGAAATTTATGTGAAAGCCTTTGGGGGGAATGGGTAAATTCTAAATTGTTTAAAGCATGACCCCCTGAATTGGTGAGGCCACGAAAGGGAATCAAAGCAGGGGAAAATATGAAAAACACCCAGACCAAAGAGACTCAGGTTAGCGTTGTGGTCCATGGGTCTCTTGTTATCATTTATCACAAAACTTTCAAGGCAACTTTTTTAGATCAACTCTGTTTTTATGATCGTTTTTTTTTTTTCAGAGTGATCTATGAATCCTAAAGTTGTATTTTCTTCAATCCTTAAGTTATGTTTTTTTCAGATGCTGGAAGTAGTAAACAAAATCAAAAGTTGATATGCTATGTTTTATGAAATAGTGTCCTCACTAAAGAACTGAATACATAGACATTTTTTTCATATAATCAATGATTTTTTAATCAAGTTTTGTTTTCCATGAACCTTATATCTTAGATAATTCTCTGGTGAACCTCAATGAGAGAAACAAATTTAGCTTGTCCTAGGTGATAATTGATATATTACGCCTCCAATGTTGATATTTACCTAAAATGCATTGTCACTGGATATTAATTAAAGGACATAGAGTGAAGCTGTATTTCAATGCCATTTCATTTTCTATCAATTAGCAGTAGAAGCAAAACAATTCAATTTCATATTGTACAAGCTAGATCGAAGAATTTTTAAAATTACAAAATATCTTGCAGATAAAATTTTCAAAAAAAAAAAAAAAAAAGACAGAGGGTTAGAAAATGATTTATTTCATGCTACAATGAAATTTAAAACAGCAATATTCAAAAACTTAAACTTTATAGTTTAATAATTTTACCATTGTCCTAATGGTTCATCATTAGTTTGAAACAGTATTTTGGTAATTAGTGTCATTTGGTCATTATTAAGGATACACGGTATTGTTTAGAAGAGGAAAGTTGTCTTTTAATTAATTTTTTTTGTATTGAATTTTAAATACTGCAGTAATACATGGTCATTTCAATGTCTTATCCCTTAAAGTAGAACTTGTTATGTTAACAGGAGAGCTGGGAATCCAAAGAGGGTGAAAAATGGAACAAAGAGTGCTTCACAACGCTTCAGTGGGCCGTTCACATGCTGACCTTCAGTCGCTTTCTCTCTGATGAGGGATGCATCTACAAGGTCATCTTGTCCCTCCTGTTGGAATTCCCCCCTTCAGAGGACACAGCAGACATCTTGGCAGAGCATTTTTATGACATTGAGATTCTGGATGCTGAGGTGCAGGAGAAATTGGAGAAATTCCTCAATGACTGGCAGGCTGTGTTTATAGAACCAGAGGATGATGGGAAATCAGCTAAACCAGAGCAGGAGGAGGACGATGAAAATGATGGGAGAAAATCGGTCACGTTTTACCAGGCTTCACCCAGAGGGCAGTCACTGTCTATATACTTTTCCAAGCAGTGTGAAGCAGTTCTTAAAGTGCTCAAAAAGAAGAGGAAGGTGTTTGGAGCTTTTGAGGAGTTTGTATTTGACAGTAGTGGTAGAATGCCAGCTGGGAGTCTTACATCTAGTCTGCCTCAAGAAATGCTAGGATTCTGCATTGGGTCCAGACCTTTTGAGACAAAACTATCTTACTTAGAGTTCTTGGACACATTCTGTGCCATCTCTTTCATAAAGGTAGAGGATTTTGAGAAACAAAGCACTGTAAAACCTTTCCCACTTCTCATGCCTTTTGCAGAAGATATCTGCTCCAAGGAGTTTGAAGATCTGGATAAAATCAGCAAACCCAGTGATGTGAAGACAAACTTAGTGGTGATGTCTTCTCCAGGAAGAGTAGATAGAAGTCAGAATGTTGGGTCAGCAGAACAATTGGCTTCACCTTCACAGGCCAAGGCCAAGCTGACAAACCTAGCATCCAAGTTTTACCAGTCAGAGGAAGCTTTGTACAGAGGTCAGGATGTTGGTAGTGAAAACCTATGGTCGGTTGAGGCAGATTTTGGCTCCAGATATGCCCGCCTTCAGAAGTGCTTGGACTGGTTAGCTGTGTGGTGCAAAAAGCAGCATTCATTGGGACTTCAGTGGAAAAGTGAACAAGACTTGGAGTTCCGACCAACCATGAAGATTGATGTTTCACCACGCCTTGTGGTTCTGGCACTATGGCTACTAGAGAATAAGTATAGTACTGCTCGGAAATCTGCAACAAAGAGTATGACCCTGAGGGAAAGTAGAAAAACAGCAGACCGACAGTCTTTAGATAATCTTCTTGTGCAAGTGAACTCAGAAGTGACAGGGGCATTACAGAAGAAAACTCGGAGACCAAGGCGGAGAGCTGATCATCCAATCAGAACCAGTTTAGACCAGGAACCAGACCAAGACGCCAGTCAGATGCACTCAGCATACGAGGAATTATTAAATGGGTATGTTACAATCTGTTGGAAAATTTATGTTATAGCACTATTTAATTTCAGTATAAGATTGTATTTAATATTTGCATCTTAAAAATGAATGCATTTTAATATCTTTTTGTAGCAAGGATGAAAGCAGTTCTCTCGAAGTTAGCTCTCTTGATCAAGAGGCTTTTACAAGAGAGTTTCAAGCCACAACTTCGCATATCAAGTAATGCTACATTACTAACTTGTACATTGATCAGATTCTAAGATGAAACATTTTTAATTGCTGTTTTAAGTCAATATTTTTTTAATAATGAATGGGGCCAAGCATATCATTTGATGTATTGAAAAGTAAAGTATTTTTTGTTTCATTTTTACAACAGAACAGGAAGCAGACCAAACTCCAGGGAAAGATATATTGAATACGAGGATTCCTACAGAAATATAGACATAGATAAACAGTTCTCCAGTAGAAAAACCCCAAGCAGACAGAATTCTACAAATGGCAGTGAATCTCTCAGGCAATCAACATATGATGAAAGCAGACGGTCTAGGGATAGAAGGAGTTCTGGGAGAAGGTCACCACAGGTCAGAGGTCAATCTCCCAGTCACAGAGGTCAACCTAGTCATGTCTACCAGCAAGAATATCAGAGACAACCGAACTCCTCTGTTCCAGGCAACTTGGCTTCTGAAATCCAATTCATCATCAGAGGGGAGCTAAGAAAGATGATGGAGGTAAAGTATTTATGATAATGAAGTTTTGGATATGTGTTTTATAATCATGAAATGTTTTTTGTTAATTATGGAAAAACTTGATTAATGTTGCATGAACTGAACTCCTAGCAAGGAAGAATGTACCGGGTAAATACTTTAAAAGTATGAATGTAAATGATAAAGAAAAAGATAATTGTTACATTTCTATATTGCTTTTTGTTTATATTTCTTATCTAGGCACAACATAGAAGCATGATGGCTATGATGGGAGCTTTAGAGGACCCAGTGGAGGAACCAGTGACTCCTCAGAGACAGTCTGCATATCACAGTCCTCCAGGAAGGAACGACACCAGGAACACCATGGTCCTAGAGGAGCTAGAAACCACTGAGGACAGGAGGAGGGCAAGGAGGAGATCACCCAGAAGGAGACAGGATTCCCCAGAGGACCAAACTAGACATCAGATACGGAGAAACAGGTCCCAAGAAAGATTCCAAAGAACTGCAGAAGATCCAGATTTTATTCCACGATATCTCAGAGTGGAGGCAGAGAGAGATATTGAGGAAGAGCCATTCAGATTGCCTCCCATTCCAATGCCAGCGTGGGCTGAGGAGTCACAGAGGCCTTTACAGGAGGACCAGTATGACATCCCTCTGCTTCACCTGGGCAGGGGTGGTGCTCCTCCCATGGTATATACAGAACCACACAGGGCATCTGACTACAATGTGTCTCACTTCTCCCCTAGTCCAGCATCTCACCCCCCTCCCTCATATCAAGAGAGCTTCTTCATTCCACCTGTTACTCAGAAACCTGAGAGCCAACCCCAGGCAGTGCCCCAGTCCATTGAAATGCCTCTGCTGAAATTAATTCCAGAAGACAAGCCTTTCCTAGGGTCCCAGAATGCCTCTAATTTTGGTCGCTTGCTGGATCCAGCTTTGCTTGTGGCTCATGAACAGGAATTACAGCAAAAGGAAACCCTGAAGTACAGGCATGCCAGGGAGTTTTTCCAACAGCAGGTCAGTTTCCTATATTTGAAGTGACCAGTTAGATTTTGGAGAATGCTTCAAGCACCAATGAGTTATAAGAGTGTCTGCTATAAGCATTTTTACATGTATATCTGCTTCAGAATAGTTTTTTCTCGAACCAGGAAATTAAACCTCATGGAAACAAGTGTTTTTTCATACAATGATCATAATAATCAAGGGGTTTTAAAAAAGAAATTACAGAATAGTTACGGTATGTCTTTTTAATATCTCTGAGAGAACACATTTCATAACATTTATTTTGAGACGATATGGACCATGAAGTTAGACATTTTTAAATGACAGGGTGTGAAATACAGAGAACTCACAAGAATATGAATAAGAATTCCTTGGCTAGGAAAATGATAGAATCTGAAAGTGTTCAATTATTTTAAATTTTTCATGAAAGTATTATTGATGAATAGTTGTTATCCTTAGTTGTTTTTTTTCTGGACATTTCTGAGCTGTTTCTTTAATGATATAATATTGCTCTAATGAGCAGCACTTTGAAATTCAATTATGAGCAGCTCAATAAACATTCCATGCAAAGGGGCATAATTCAAACGTGACTTGATCATTCTTTGATGACATCCATCTCTCTAAACTAGCCTTGTTCATTTACAAACTTTTATCTGTATGAGTTGAATTTTTTGATAACCCTTTTAGGTGGAAAATCTGGAAGAAATGGAGCAGAGGCAGCTAGGAAGTCAATTGTTACAGGCTGATTTACATGCCCCGAGGCAGAAAGTGGAGGCTGAAATGGATAGGTCTCTCAGGTATGTATATACAGCTTTATAAATGTGTTTTGAATATACAATGAACACTGAGATGACACTTAAACCTGCATGTTTTATTATTTTTTAAGGAGAAGAAAAACCAGGACAACCAAAAAAGAGGAATCTGAGAAAGTAAGCAAAGACTTATCCTCAAAAAATGTTGAAATGTTCAAAAGAAGCTTGTAGATGTATACACTTACAGTAGATAGAAATATTATAATCTTTGTTCTTTACATTCCTTTGGGATATGAAGCTCACAACAGAAAAGGAGAATACAAAGTAAATATTCTAAGAAATGCATTAGAAATTAAATATGCCTCATTAGATTTCATTATTTGTAATGTACATCTTTTAGGCTTCCTCTGAGTCTCCAGAATCTGTTAAAGAGGAAATGTCCAAAGAGGCGGAAAGATCTGAAGGGGACGTGACAGAGAAATCCGACACAGGGGAGGAGCAAGAGGAGGAGGAGGGCATCCATGACGGATACGCCATCCAACCAGGTCAGAGTCTTAATGCCTCTCATTGGAATAATAATGTATCAAGATACCTTAATGACGGGTTGTTTTTATAAAAGCAATAATTAAACTTAATTAAATGTCAGATCAATTACCATGTAATTTCTATCCTGAGGGACGTCGAAACCGCTTTAATGGATTATTGAAATGCTTAATTAAACAACTTTTATGCGCAAGAAGATTTTATTCTTCCAATTAACTGAATACAGATTTACTAACTGATTTACATTCTTCTATTAATCGGTAAATCAGTTACTGCAACTTGTTATCCCTAGTTTATAGGGAAGTAAAATGGGGCCACAATAGGGAATCCAAGTTTTACATTGGAATATATAGGGAAAATCTTTAAAAATCTTTTTCTCAAGAATCACTGGGCTAGAAAAGCTGAAACTTATGGGGAAGCATCCTGGGGTAGTTGGTAGTGTATATTTTAAATTGTGCAGAGCATGACACATGGAGGTAGGGTGGGGCCACAATGGGTATTGCAACAGGGGAAATCTGGTAAAGAACAGCATGGCTAAAGGTACTCAGGTGAGCAATGTGGCCAGTGGGCCTCTTGTTCAGGCTGTGATAAAAACTAGTCTTTTGGGCTGGTGCTCCAAGTTTTTTTTAATCAGCCCATCAGTTTCTTGTACAAAGCAAATTTTGAGAAAGTTAATCAAATGGAATATCATCTTGCTAGTCCAAGTTTTAGAAACTGTAGGAAAGTGAATTTTTATCCTAGTTCAGCTTTGTGTCTGTTGTAAATTTTGATGCACCCTGGACCACACTGCAATTCATACAGAAATTTTTTCACAGTGTCTAAACCATTAAGGTTGATTTTGTTAACTTAACAATAATTGTTATCAGCAAATATTCAAGTCAATTCATCAATTCATGTGTTTGAATGCACAAATAAATGTGGTTTAAAAAAGAAACTAACAAAACATGAGATGAAAGTATTTTTGGGGGCTTATGAGCTACAGAATCTGTAAGAATTGCTTCTGATGTTATCTTTTTTATCGAGTTTGCTTTTAGAGGTAAATGCAGCACTTCTTAATTGGTAGATAGTATTTTATTACGGATTGACAAGAACACTTTTTGCAGGTGTTAATTACAATGTGTTCTAAATTATGCAGGTGCCTTTGAGAATTACCTGCATATGAATGAGGGGGATTTTGAGGCCGATACTAATGCCAGGGTTCAGTTCAGGACAGCCATGCTGATGAAGGAACAGTTGGCCAAAGAAAAGAAAGAGAGAAGAAAGAAGGTACAATTTCTCAACACTTAAATTTTTTTTTAATATAAGTGTCTTACACAGAGAATTGAAACAAGATGAAAGTATCTTTGTCTGTTTAAAGGTGGACTTTGCCACTATGACAAAGAACTATGAGGATGCTCAGATTGAGACAGGAGCTTCATTAGAAATAGACAGTATCAGAACAGCGGAGGTGGCTACATCAATTACCAAGGACACAGGTAGGCCTGATTCATCACTCCTGGTACCACACATGGTTGTGTAATAACAAATCCTCAATACTTTTTTTTATAAATACCATTCTGCATTTAAATTTTTTTATTACTATAATTGCAATTAAAGAATTTCCTGCTTTGTCATTGTAAATATTGTGTAGGCACTGAGTAATATTATTACATGCCATGCACTTTTGAACCCAATATCAATGACTAATAATCAGTTTTCACTTATTGTAGGTGTGGATCCAATTCAGGAAGCCATTATGGAATACAACAGAAGTCGGCAAGGGAGGGCACTGCCCCCAGACATTTTCCTTGGACTGCGATTTGCTGATGCTAATGGCCAACCACCTGCTCCAGATGTACATCAAGGGGTTAGTGATGTGTATTCGGACTTTTAATTTTACATTAATAAAAATAGACATGACAAGACATCATTGTGAATGTTTTTCACCAAAAAATTCTTTGAAACTGTTTATTAATGAATAGATTTTTGTATGCCTACAGGTTTACAAGACGAGTGCTTTCTAGGGCTGTCACGGGTACCCGAAATGACCCGGAATCGCGGAACAATTAATTTGGGTCGGGTACGGTTCTGTTTTTCTGGAATTCGGTTCGGTTCCGATTTGTATAATAGAGTAGGTTTTACTATAAAAATGGCGTCAAAAACGGGAGATTTGTTAGTACATTGCCATTATGAGATGATTAAGTAATTTGATATAATTGTTTTCTAGTCAGGAAACTACTTTAAACTAATTATAATGTTGCTATTTCTAAGATTAAATGAAAATATTCTTTTTGTTGTCGAAAATTATAGAAATTGTGAGTTTTTATTCCATTACCTACCGGAACTGAAAGACCCAAAACCGAACTTAAAAAATGAGAACCGACCCAACCCGAAAAATGTTGGAACCGTGACAGCCCTAGTGCTTTCACAATTTTTGTGTGTGTGTGTGTTTGTAAGATTACCCATAAAAATAGCCTTTTTGTTTTTTAATGAAAATGTATTTTTGTTTCCTGTAGGAAAGACCTAAAGGCCGGTCCTATATTAATGTTGTGGATTTAGACGCCTCGGCTGTACTTCATGACCTTGGCAAACTGCCAGAGAAAGAGGATAAGCAAGGTGATGACCTAAGTTTGGCTCCTCAGTCGGTTACCATGGCAACAGCTCAAGGTCGTAACCTTGAAGAACTTGAGGAATCAATGAGAGATGCACTGAGACCCACTCCAGCTCCTGTGGAACGTCCATTTAAACAGGATTCAGTCACAGTCAGCATGTTTGAATCTCATGTTCCACACCATAACAGGTCAGAGACTTGTCCTTGCTAAAGTAAAAAATTTATCAAACTATTAATAACTTCTTCATGCAGGTTTTTATACGCCCGTCTTAAGTCGTGTCCGTCCGTCTGTCTGTCTGTTAGCTTTTTCGTTTCCGGCTCATAACTTCAATACTACTAGGCCTAGGATTATCAAACTTTGTCATATGATGCATCTTGGGTAGAAGGTGTGTCGCGCACAAAGAGTAGGTTGCTCTGACCTTTAATTAAGAAGTTATAGCCAAATATGGAAAAATCCTTTCCGGCCCATAACTAGAAAACCATAAGACCTACAATCATCAAACTTGGCCAGTTTATGCATCTTAGGTAGAAGGTGTGTCGCGACCTATTTCAAGGTCACCCTGACCTTTAATTTTAGTGAATTTTTTTTTTAAAATGTGTCTTTTTACTATTCATTTACACATCCCAAATAATGTAAGAGTATTGCACTGTCCTTATTAAAAAAGTGTTAAATCAAGAAAATACTTTTTTTAAGCATATACTTGACAGCAATCTATAACAAATATAATGTATGTTAGAGAAATCCTACCTCTCCCATGATTGTGATTATCAAGCACTGGTCAAGAAGAATTTTGATAACAGAAAATTGCATGTCAAATTAGAGAGAAATTAATGGATTTTGAGTGCAGGAGCTAACTGACAGAGCATTGGTGTTATCTATATCCCTTGAGTATTGGGCAAATGGGTAAGCCCGTTTGATTAAAAATAGCTCTTGTTGACTAGCTTAAGTTTTAAAATGAATTTGATGAAAAGTAATTAAAACTAATTTGATATTGCATAATAGACTAATCTGATATTATTATGTAATATTATTAATTAAGGTCTTCCGTCTTCAGCGGAAGACCTTCTAGTGATTCTACTGTTTCTTATTATTATTATTATTAAGGTCTTCCGTCTTCACGGAAGACCTTATAGTTATTGCTCTGTTTCTTATTATTATTATTATTATTATTTTTCTGACACGATTTCTCGACAACTACTGGATAGAATTACATGAAATTTTCAGGAAAGATGTGTTGTAAGATACTCTTGAAAGTTCCAAGACAGTTTTTGGAAATTCCTCTCTGGTGCCAAGTTTTGGACCATTTTCCTGATTTTAAAACGACATTTTGTCCACGATTAAACTCAAAAACGGTAAAAGATATCAATGTGAAACTTTCAGAGTTTATAGATGATGATCAATACTTTCCAGGACGCAACTTTTCGTTCGTCGTCAGTACTTTCTGTCGCTACCGGAAGCCAATTAAAAAAGTCCAAATTTTCAACTTTCTTTGTTTTTCAATATTTTTCATTTATTTTTGGAATATTAATAGAGACACTTCTATTGATGCTTACTATATAAGTTGTTTTAATATTGGTTAATCTGAACTCTAGATATTAATATTTGAAAATCTGAAGCGGGCCCAAGATGGCGGCTGTCTCTGTCAACTCCGACATTTCGCGAGTAGGGGCTTATGGAGGCAGCTGAGCGTTTGATTAAACCATTCTGACATAAGGATACATGAAATGCAAAAAACTACTTGGACTCTCACGTAGTAGTACGTTGCAATTCAGTGTCAATCTTAAAAAACTTAATTTACGTTTCACTGCTTTAGTGTTACTGGGCTAGATACGATATGTAATGTGTACAATGTGTTAAATATACTTTCCTAACGCCGAAATAAAATAAAGGTGATAAGAATGTTTTATTTAATTAATTTCATTGAAGCTATTGCACCTCTTTAATAGATCAGTACAAAGAAAAGGTGTGAATATTTACGCTTAAAGCAGTATTCCCAATAGCTAAATGGTTCGCGCGTTGGGGAGAAAAGAGAAAAAAAAAGGCGCATTCACGTTGGCGACTTGGATTCACTCCTTCTTGTGATCAAAATTTTGAATCACTTTTTAGTTCGATTTTACAAGTTTTTTTTCCTGAATCGGACGGAAGACCTCTCGTTGCTCGCAACGAGATCGTATCTAGTTATTATTATTATTATTCTTATTTTTTTCCCCAAAATTTTGTGCAGGCGATTTCTCGAAAACTATTCGGTGGTTTTCAATGAAACTTTCAGGAATTATGCGTCATTATATGAACTTTGTTCATCAGAAGGAAAATTTGGAATACTCACCTTCGGTTCCAAGTTATTGACCGTTTTCTGATTTTAAAATAGATTTTTGTCCCCCCTTTTTTACGAAAATGGTCTAAGATATTAACTGGAGACTTGTTAGAGATGATAGATGATGACTTTTAGATATGTGAAATCACCTTTTCGTGTGTCGTCAGTACTTCCGGTCGCTAGCGGAAGCGAATTTAAAAAGTCCGTATTTTCTAACTTTTTTGTTTTTCAATATTTTTCATTTATTTTTGGTATGTTAATAGAAACCGTTCTTATAATGCTTACTATTTAATTTGTTTGAACATTGATAAATCCAAGTTCTAGATATTAGCATTCAAAAATCTGAAGCGGGTCCAATATGGCGGCTGCCTATGTCAACTCCGACATTTCGCAATAGGGGTTTTCAGAGGCAGCCAAGCGTTTGCTTGAACGAAAGTAAATAAGGATAAATGAAATGTAAAGGAATACGGGGATTGTCACGATGTAGTTACGTTGCAATTCTGTGTCAAACAAGTTTAAATCCATGGTCGCCAGAATGGTCTTCTATTATTGGTTTTGGCTGGTTCTCAAAGTACATGTAGAAAAAGAAAAGACTGAATGTGCAAATGAAATACATACCTACTATCATTTGTTTTGCGGAAAAACAGATCTTAAATCATAGTTACATATAATAGTTTTAAGAAACAATATCGATGTATATAGTAAGTATTAAACGTATCCACTGTTTTGCTCATGCACACTTGAGTCATATTAAACTAATAGGAAAGACAAACATAAGAAAACCATTTTTTAGAAGAATTGAGTTTATATTAATATTCTTGTGTCAAAGATATGGTTTAAGTTACTGAACATAAATGGTATCTGATTCCTTGACCATCTTAGGACGACACATTTCAACCTTTTCATGAAAGTTTAACTAATCGGGATAGTTCAGTAAGGGGATAAACAGGAAATTTTAAAAAGTAAAAAAATATAGCAGTTTCGCTGATTTAGTGTTACTTATCTATTTACGTCATAGAATTTGTAAATGTGTTAAAAACAATTTCTTTACCTTGAAATTTTAGCTATAAGAACGTTCTTTTTTTATTTCCATTGAAGCTATCACACCTATTTAATGGGATATTCCAAAGAAAAGGCGCGAATATTTACTTGTGGCGTTTGACGCAAAATTATGAATAGTGACCGTCTTTCATTATTCTAAGACAGATGTACTGTTGCAGAAGTATATTCAAGTAGATTTAGAGCTGTGGCCCCAATAGCGTAATAGTAAGTGCTTTAGATTTTCATGCTGGCGACCCGGGTTCAATACCCTTTATTTCCATAAAAAGTTTTATCACTTTTTCAGCTCGATTTTGCGTTTCTTTTCAGAATCGGACGGAAGACCTCTCGTTGCTCGCAACGAGTTTCTTTTCTAGTTTAAAAACTAATTTTATGGGGTGGGGTGGAATCAGCATGTCCATATGAATTACATATTAAAACCTGTTGGACATTAAATCTCAACCAAAAAAAAAATCTGAGTATTTTATATGTTTTTAAAAAAAATTTATAGTAGATAGTGCAGACCCATTCATCTCTTAGTAGTAATGAGTAGACAAGCATCCAGTTAAAAGATTAATTAATGAGTTCAATATAGGAAGGCTAGCTGTCTCAGTTGCTCTGATTAAGCAGTCTTATCTGTACCCTTTGGGGATTAGACAGAAGAACTGCTGGTCAGTTTATAACATATGTCATTTGATGGCCAGCCTTTTCTTTTCAAAATTAATTTGGTATAGATTAAGTTGTTAAGACTAATTTGATGATGGGCATTTGACAAGGTCTAACACACCCAGCACAGAAATCTATCAGTGATGTAATATTTATTATAATTGATGCCTACATCACAGGGGATGGATAAATATTTTAAGGAATGGAAAAATCATTGAAATCTTAGAATCAAGGTTGATGTGATTTTCTTACATCTAAACTGTTCAAGAAAATTGTAATTTTTTGACGGGCGTATCATGCTGTGGCGCAGCACTTTATCTTTAACTGGGATATACTCTTTTGTTAAATATGCTGTTGTCATTTTTCATGAGGATTTTATACAGCTAATGGTTTTGTAGTCAAGTGGTACACAGACCAACTCATTACACAAGGCTTTGTTCTCTTATTTTCTTGGTAAAAAAAAAAAAATTAAAATATTTTTAAAAACCTCAGAATTATTTAATCAAAATTCCCTCCTGATCTTGAATATGAACAAAAAATGTATGCATGTCTGGGTTGATTGCTTTGACTTGCTTTTGAGTCATTTTGTGTTTGGCTTGCCTGAACACCATTTAATATATGAAGGATACAGAGTGGATGTGATATTGTTCTGTTTAGAGTATCTGTGGCGGTGATGCCAAGAGACAGCGTGGAGGGATCCAGAGGAGCGGTCATTGAGCGACTCAGGGATATGGGCAGACATATGTCCGCTATTGACCAAATGGCAGCTAATATTGAAAAAGACTTCCATAGTACAAGACTGGTAGGATGTATAAACTTATAGAATCATTACTTTGTAATACAAAAAATGTATTACTATACATGTGTTCAGTATGCTTATGAAGAAAAAAATTCATTGTGAATACCTTTACTTAATTACCAATTTGGATATATAAAAATGTATACTATTTACAGGGAAATTTTCACCCCGTTTTATTTTCGCCCCTTTCGCCTTACTCTCGTTCGGGCGAATTTAAAACGGGGCAAATTTAAAGAATACAGTATAATTTAAAGCAAAACTATGATTGGATGAATTTAAAACTAGGCAAAATTGTTTGCAAGTGTGAAAGGGCGAAAATAAAACAGGGCGAAAAATAACCCTGTATACAGTAATGATAAAAATGGTTTAAAATTTCAAGCACCGATTTTTAGTTGAATTGCTATGTGGAGATTATTTTACATTGAAGTTTATTGACCTCCACACTTGACTGATTCAGATGCTGAACACTCTTGATACACTTACTAATGTTGAAGACACCAGACCAGAGGCAGAAAAGGACAAAGAGCCTGTACCAACTCCCAAATCCTCCCGCAAAACTGTACGTACACCCAAATCCTCCAGAAAATCCCCCACCCCAAGGACCGGGAGATCGACACAAAGGACACTACCTACCACTTCTAGTCTAGAGGAGGAAAAAGAAGGGTAAATATGTATTATAAATGGGATATAACCCCTGTGGAAAAATGTGCACTTTGTTAGGGTTAGGGTATCGATCATGTTTTCTGCTCAAACTAGTAAAAGTGAACTTTTCCTTCCAAGTGAAAAAAACTTTGTTAAATCTTTCAACATGCTTATATGTGTAAACAACTTTTGTTTCAATGAAAAATAAAAAAATGAATCAAAACAACTAAAACATGAAAGGTCTTTATGTGAACTCTTCAAAGTTTTTAAGCGGAGAACGTAAATGGACCTTTTTGGATTATTGTTATCTGTTTTGTTGACAGTACTGGGGAGCTGGTTAAGATGTCTGGGTTGAGTGGAATCAGTGACATCATAGGAGAGATGGTGGAGAAGGGAGACATTGACCTGGAGGAAGCTGGATTTACAGAGAATGAGGCGCTGAAACTGGCGGAACGAATAAAAACTAGGTACGGTATCAGATGCTGTTGTTTTTTTATTTAAGTTATTGAACATCTTAAAGAGTTTTTTAAAAAATCAGGTTATAATTAAGTTTCATGACAGGTATTGGAATGGATTATCATATTAGTTTAAACTTTCTAATCCTTTTTAAAAATAAATGTAAACTGATTGTGTCTCATTTCTTAGTGCCAGGACGGATCACACAGAGGAGGAAAGGGAGAGAATCCGACATAGTCTGGAGATTCTAGAGAGGATGTCCAGGGCTCCAGACAGCAGAGAGGAGGAACAGAGAAGACTGGAAGAAAAGGAACAACTGAGGGCATGGATGATAGAAAAACGTCACGAGAGGATGGAGGAATACAAAAAATACAGATTTGAGCTCAGGGAACATGAGAGGAGACCCTTTAAACCAGACTCTAGTTCTAATTTTAAGGTACATGTATAAGCTGTTTTTAACTTGCTAAATCTAAAAAAATGGCTTGAAGAGACCTACTTCATTTTCTAAAATAAAACAAGTCTACAGTCAGACATGCTGGTTTAACTTCCTGGTACCGTTAATGTATTTCTTTAGAATTACATTCCACCCCGAAATATTTAAAAAAAATCATTTGACAAATTGTATTATTTACATGTAAATGTTGAAGAAACTTCAAAATTGATACCATAAAGTGAAAGATTTAGCATTAACAGGAGGTTAAGCAGTCTGAATACCTGCTATGCATGTATTGTAAAGTCATAGTAAAGTATGAACACACATTCAAGTAATCAATGAAAGAACAGATAATTCACCATCAACATTATGTATTGCTCAATTATAAAGGGAACATTCAAAGTGTCAGAGAAGGGGGCAACAGGGAAAGAAAACATGCAGAAAAGACTCCGAGAGGCACAGGAATTACTGGGAGACATATTAACAGACAAACCAGAGCTCCCCCCAGAGTTACCAGCCAGAGAAAGAAGTCCCAGGCGTAAGACATCCAGATCTCCTCCCCGGGAGAGAATCCTACACAAGACTTCCCCAGTCCGAGACCGCAGCCCTAAGGTCAGCAGTTCACGGCCAGTGTACAGACCCCCCAGTCCTAAGAGGCACCAGACCGTCAGAATATCAGCCGAGGTAGAGAAACTGGAGTACGACGACATGTTAGATGAGGCTGAGGAGATTGTACAGATACAGCCAATCAGACCCCCCGTGAGGAGGGCGCCGAGTCCTAAGTCACCTACCAGACAGGTGCCCAGGCTAAGGCTAGTGGATTCTGACGAGTTCCTTCAGAGGACCGGGGAAACAACAGGTTAGAATTCCAGATATTCAGCTCTCTAAGTACAAGAATGAAGTACATTCTTGTATTTTATGGTATCAAAAAGTAGTTTGTTGTGAAATTATTCAATCACAATTTTGTGGCAGCACTCTTTGTAGTGTTCACATACATTTTCATTTATGTTAAATCAGATAAAAGTTTTTTTAACATAAATATTGGTGCAAAATTATGTGAAAAGAATCAATTTTACTGATTTCTTAATGCAATATCTTGAAAGAGGGAAAACATACAGTCGAGAATATATTTATATCTGTAGGTGAGATCTCAGCATATGCAAGAGCTGTGGAAAGCATGGAGGCCAGCCAGGATATCACTGTGAGGGACAGGGAACCAGAGAAGCAAGAACCAGTCAAGGTGTACAAACAAAAGTCATTCAAAGACATGGTGAGGTTACAGAGGCCAGAGGTCACCAGGAAAGCTGCTCGGATCCAGGTGTCAAGGGAACATGTGTGGGAGGAAGAACCTAAGGAGGTTAAAAAGTCAGAGAAAGAAACTGTACCCAAGGCAAAGGAGCCAATAAAGCAGGAGATGGAAAGGGAACCAACTGACAGAACCAGTCAAGATCAGCTGACTGTTCAAGGTTAGTGGCTCATGCATTAATACATGTGCAAAATATACATGTATGGGTTTTAAAAAAAAAATTAAAGAAAGGAAAATATGAAAAGAACTAATAAAATACCACATATTTGACTTTATTTAGTTCATGCTTAACTTGACTGTCATTTTGCAGAGTCAAAGAAAATGGTAACTCCAAGGAGGGTGAAAACTTATGCTGAAAGGCTTAAAGACATGCGAGAAAACCAGCCTAAATTTAGCACACCAATTGTTCCTAGAGTGCATGCACCGCCAGGTAAACTAAAATCTAGTATGTGAAAGAAATCAAAATTGTTTAATGAAATTAAAATTGGTACCCCTTGAAGCTTATATTTCAAATACATGTACATTATCCTACAAACAAATGAATGAATGGTCATTGATATTGACCAAGAAAAACGTTTTATTGCAGCAAAAACTACAACAGTACAGAGGAAGCCTGTAGGACCGTCCCACAAACCCAAGACCTATGTGGAACAGTTGCAGCAGCTAAATCCAGGCAGCAAGACACGTAAGAATTCTTCAGTTAACTGTCCTGAGGTACATAAATTGTCTGATGAATACTATCCAGAGGTGCCTTAGAAAAGATAAATTACAACAATTTTAATTACACATTTTTGCAATCTGAATGATTACTTTGAAGAACCTTTAGTATACTTGAGAACTTAAAACGCTAGTTAGAATAATCTAACTGTGTCTCGGGACAAGCCCTAACCACAGTTAGAATACCACCCATATACATGTACTTGCAATGTAGCAAAAAATTGCAGAATCGCACCGAAACGATTTTGAAGAATACAAACGGATTTGCACTGAAAATAACTTATGAATTAATCAAACCAAACTTTTTTGGGACTGCTTAAGTATTTAAACCTAAAGTTTAGTCTATAAAGACGAAAATTCAACTAATTTTCTCAACTTTTTTTCTCGTTTCAAATTTCGCCATTGTTTACGTTCGGAACTCACTTGATTGTTCATAGTAAATGCACTAGTACGAGTTATTGCCTGTGTTTACTTTGCTACATTGTGAATACACGGAACGCATTCTATCGTTAAACTGGGTCCGTAGGACATTTATCATTTTAACGATAGAACATTCTATCTATTAAAACGCCTGCAGTGTAGTGAATCTATAAGGGTCAGTTTTACTTCAGGTAGAACAGGGTGTCAAAGTCATCCCCTCTAAATCTTAATTCATTGACAAAATTTATCTATACTGTATTATTGTTACCTGTTGTCATTTTTGATGTGACATTACTTATTTCTTTTATTGATCAGGATTAAGAACACCTGGACCAAGAACAGTTCAAGGTCACACATTCCTTAAGTCCCACAAACCTCTACACAAACCAAAGACATATGTACAGCAGCTTAAGAACATACAGGCTCCATTTAAAGGTACCAGACAGAACACATGATAAAGTATTTATTTTATTTCTCAAGGAAGATAACTCTATCTTATGGTTGAAAAAATATTGCAACTCCTTTTAATTTTTCTGTTTAAAAAAATCAATCGTATAAAAATTGCATTGCTTCAAACTGGCTTATGAAAAGGAAAGAGAGAAAAACTCCAGTCTGACAATTATTTTTTAATCTTGAACATTTGAATCCTTTAAATCATGTATGTTTGCCTTCTTTGCCTCTGTAGAACATCCCAAACCAAAGAGGGTAGTGGCAGCCAGAGGTCAGGTACGTCCCCGACCTTATGCTGACCCCTACAAAGACCAGTGGGATAGAGAATCGGTGCTCAGTGATTGGTCAGTGGATGATAATGTCAAACGTCTGCTCTATGATGAGGATGAACGCTCAACAGTAAGTGTTAATCAGTATTAAATATCAGGTCTCAATGCAAATGTATTGTTTATCTGGATCATATATTGTTTATCTGGGTCACTTGAATCCATAGGTGTTAAATTTTTGTCCCCCGCTTTCGCGAAAGCGAGTGGACATTAAATCTCATTCGTCTGCTAGTCTGTCCCTCCGTCACAAAAACTTGAACCTTGCTCATAACTTTTGATTAAGTGGAGCTATGACCTTCATATTTCACATATTTATTCCTAGTGACAAGACCTTTCTTTTGGTACCACCAAATTTGACCTTTTGACCTTGACCTTAGAGTTTGACCCACTTTTACACAAAAATTCCAAATGTATACTTTGGCCATAACTTTTGAATGGTTGATACTAGGGCTTTTATATTTCATATATGTATTCTTTGTGGCAAGACCTTTCATTGGATACCAACAACTTTGACCTTTTGACCTTGACCTTGGAAATTTCCGTACTTATGAAAACACTTTAACCTTGGCCATATCTTTTGAACGGTAAGGGCTAGGGCTTTCATGCTTTACATATGTAATCCTTGTGAGGAGATCTTTCATTGAATACCAACAACTCTGACCTTAACCTTAGAGTTTGACCTACTTTTTGAAAACTTTAACCTTTACCATAATTTTTGAACTGTTTGGGCAAAGGCTTTCATACTTCACATATGTAATACCGGTACTTGTGACAAGACCTTCATTGGAAATAAAGAACTTTGACCTTGACCTTGACCTACTTTTTAAAAACTTTAACCTTGGCCATAACTTTTTAATATTTGATTGAGATGAGATAGGACTTTCATATCTGACATGTACATTACATGTACCTATATATGACAAGATTTGACACAATATGTCATTAAAAATAACATCGCATCTACAAAGACATCGAAAGCAGGGGACCACAATTCTTTGAATTTGCTTGTTATCCTTGTTTTCTGAAGAAAAATCAGGTTATTTTATGATGTAAGTGGCAGACAAGCAAATGACTTTCAAACTTGTGAAGTCCCTCAAGTAGGGAATGCATCTAGATTGAGATAAGGTTGTTTTATACTGAAAATGTATAAATCTATACCTCACAACATTTATTTAGGAATAAAAAAATTAAACCTCTGCTGTATGTCTCATTGATAAGTTGTTTGATGATGCCTCTTTATGTGTTAAAAGTAGTCCCCTTATTGAACATAAGACTATCATTTGTCTCCTCTCTAACTTTTCCACCACTAGTGATTTGAATTTGTAAAAGAAATATACAGCTGGGTGTTTTTTTTTTTTTGCTACTTGTGCTTCTTTTTGTATGTTAGTTACATGTAATTTGTGTTGTTGTGTTGTCTGCTTGCTTGCTGTGGCTCAGAAAGTGAATTTTTTTTAGGAAAAAATAATTTTAAAGCATTATTTTATTTTCAGATGTATGGCAGAGCATCAAATACTGGAATCTCAATGGACTACACAATATCGGAAGGTGTCTCTGATTATTACGATGCTGTGATGGATGATGAGTATTTAGGATCTGTAGATATTGACGAGATCGCCCAAATAGCAGACGCGGCATCAGTCAGGAGTGGGAGCGTCATGAGTGTCATTGATTGGGACGCAGTGGAAGATCTCATAGCAGACGTCAAATAATATACAACTCGGAGGATTATTTCAGGATGGGAGGGGGGGTTGCATTTATTATGAATCTTTAGTTAAGTTATATGTAAGTTTATTCCTATTATGTAAAATTAGAATCCATTTCTACTAGGTCAAGCCAGTTGAATATCTATTTTTCCTCAGATTACCATCTAGAATAGTGATATTATTTGAAATACGAGTAGATTAAATTAGGGCAACAAGTAAATGAAGTAATTTTTCAATAATATAAATGGAATCTATGAAATGTAATATTTAATCCCGATTGAAAAAAGCTTTAAGTGCTAGAATTTAGTGGTATTCAAATGTTTTAGAGTTTGATTTAACACCATATTATTGTCATAAACATTCTTTAAAAATTACAAAATTATTTTGAAAAATGGACAAGATCTGTAAATTCTAATTTCTTTTTATTATACAGTATTTGAAATTTCCGTCCATTTTAATACTGTATGAACAATTTTAAAAGGTATCATTTTATTGAAATATCTGTGATATTGATATATAAAACTGTTAAATTATTTCAATAAAATAAAAAATTAAACTATATAGATTTATTATTTATTAACTAAAAACTGAAACATACCATTAGTCATTATATGATCACCTGGGGCTGTGACAGGTTAGTTTCATGTCCTAGACATGTTATTGTTTCTCGGTGTCCACTTTCTCTGTCAGAAAACTTTTCTTGACAAGAAACACCGCATGTTAAATGTTGAATATTCTCATTTGTCTACATAAATTCTTTTCATTAACAACTGATTTCGAAAAACAACAAGATGCGTTTGTGAAACACTGATGCCCCTGTATGGCAATATAGTGAAGATTAAACTTTTCTTGGAGACAAACTAAATATCTGTACCCAAAGTAGGGTCTTCTCACAAGAAATACAATTATCAAAAATGAAAGCCTTAGCACCACCTGTTCAAAGTTATGGCCATGGATATGTTTTTGAAAGGTAGCTCAATGTTCCAGGGTCAAGGTCAGAGTTGTTGGTTTATAAAAATAGGTCTTGTCACAAGGATTTTATATGTAAAGTATGAAAGCCATAGCCCTAACTGTTCCAAAGTTATTGCCGAGGTTTAAGTTTTTATAAAGTAGGTCAAGCATCATGGTCAAAAGGTCAATGACACTGGCATCCAATGAAAGGTCTTCTCACAAGGATTACATATGAGAAATATGAAACCTTTCAACAGGTCGGAGAGAATACTCGAAATCGGGTATTATCCGTGAAATCGCGTATAATACTCGATATTAGGGTATCGTTGAATCCGCGAAATCGGGTATTCCGTGCAACTTTCTATAAAATCTAAAGAATAAAGCAACGGTGCATGATGCCAGTAACTGTTACTTGTACATCAATATCTTGTGGATTTATTTTTATTAAACCTAATTCATACGGTTGTCAAATAAGTTTAAAATCACACGACAAACACTGCTGGGGTAACAAAGAGGACACAATGGCGTTATTATTTTTCAATATAATTTCTAAAAACAAAAATAACTACACTTCGTTTGTCTTTATTTCCCATTAAAGTATTCCATATACTTAATTTTCTAATTTGTGCACTATTCACAAAACGTGAAAATTTAAAGAAATTAAACGACTAACGCCGTGTTATGTATTTTTACTGAAAAATGTATGGCGTCCCTTTCTCGTGAAATATAAATTACTTCCAACAGTTAGAGAGTACAGTATAAGCGAGTCATAATTGTATATCTCTGCCATAATAGAATACCAACGTTATTATAAAGAAGAAAATAAAATAAGATTAAATAAATACCCATGGGAAAACATGTCAAGTTTTCACATTTCTTATAGTTTTTACGTTTATGAACATGTTAATGAACAAACTGAAATAATGGAGTGTTCAATTGCCTTGGAAACTCTTGTCTTACTTTTTGGGAATATAATTCCTCATCGGACATTAAAATTTTTATAAAAATCGTAGCCACTTCCTTTCTTTATTATACTATTTGATAGACAGGGTAAATTTTACCTCTTTACCTTCTATATTTTTAGCTCTTCTGAGCCAAAGGCTCAAAGAGATAATGCTATGGCCATTTGTGCGGTGTGCGTTAACTTTTTAGCTCACCTCGACGAAGTCGAGATGAGCTTATGCTATACCCCCGGCGTTGGCGTCGGCGTCGGCGTCCCAGGTTAAAGTTTTAGGAGCAAGTCCTTTCCCAAGTAACTATAAGCCCTACCTGAACCAAACTTGCATGGATGATGCATCTAGGGATGTACACTACCAGACTTGCTTCGGATGCTGGATCTGACTTACATTTTCCAGCTGAGTGACCAGGTTAAAGTTTTTGGAGCAGGTTAAAGTTTTTGGAGCAGGTCCATTCCCAAGGAACTATAAGCCCTACCTGGACCAAATTTGCATGGATGATGCATCTAGGGATGTACACTACCGGACTTGCTTCGGATGCTGGATCTGACCTACATTTTCTAGATAAGTGACCAGGTTAAAGTTTTTGGAGCAGGTTAAAGTTTTTGGAGCAGGTCCATTCCTAAGTAACTATAAGCCCTAGCTAAACCAAACTTGCATGGATGATGCATCTAGGGATGTACACTACCAGACTTGCTTCGGATGCTGGATCTGACCTACATTTTCCAGATGAGTGACCAGGTTAAAGTTTTTGGAGCAGGTCCATTCCACAGGAATTATAAGCCCAAGCTAAACCAAACTTGCATGGATGATGCATCTAGAGATGGACACTACCAGACTTGCTTCGGATGCTGGATCTGACCTACATTTTCATTCCCAAGTAACTATAAGCCCTAGCTAAACCAAACTTGCATGGATGATGTATCTAGGGATGGACACTACCAGACTTGCTTCGGATGCTGGATCTGACCTACATTTTCATTCCTAAGTAACTATAAGCCCTAGCTAAACCAAACTTGCATGGATGATGTATCTAGGGATGGACACTACCAGACTTGCTTCGGATGCTGGATCTGACCTACATTTTCATTCCTAAGTAACTATAAGCCCTAGCTAAACCAAACTTGCATGGATGATGTATCTAGGGATGGACACTACCAGACTTGCTTCGGATGCTGGATCTGACCTACATTTTCATTCCTAAGTAACTATATAAGCCCTAGCTAAACCAAACTTGCATGGATGATGCAGCTAAGGATGGACACTATCAGACTTGCTTCAGATGCTGGATCTGACCTATATTTTCCATACAAGAGGCCAGGTTAAAGTTTTGGGAACAGATCAATCCGAATGAATTTGAAGTCCTTGATATCTGCAGTATTAACAGTTATGAATATTATTTACACTTTACATGTTTTTCACGCTACACGCATAGAAATGTGTATATGCCATGTAAGGGGTTAAACACAACTTGCAAGAATATTGTTGTTGGGATGAATACTAAATATTAAGAAAATATGATGTGAGATTTGCATTACTTAAACTGATAACATCCGTCGAGGTGAGCTTCGTAATCTTTGATTACCTATGTTTAGAATATGGGCCATAACTCAAGAACCCCTTGGCCAATCAGTACCAAATTTGTCACAGGGTATCCTTGGCCCAAGGGCTACCATTTATACTAAAATAAGGGTTGGGACGACTCTAAAACAAGGGGAGATAATCAGGAAAACAAAACCAAAAGTACTGGTTGCTAAAAAATCTTCTTCTCAAGAACCACCAGGCAGATTTTCACCAAACTTACATACAAGGATCAGGATATGTTGAAGATTAAAAATTGTTCAAGGCATGACCCTGGGGCAAAGGGCGTGGTCTCAAGGTCACTTCAAAGTTGACCTAAATTTACAATTAATAAAATCGTGTATATTTTTCTTACCATAAGGACTAGAATCATCAAATCTTGTAAGTTGATGCATCTTACGACTTCACATCATGTTAACTCAAAAGTAGGTCATGGTGACCTACTTTTTAAATTTTGTGGGGATTTGTTTTCAAATTGATTTGAAGGCATATTTTGGACACTTTAAGGACTATGATCATCAAACTTTGTCAGTTCATGCATCTTGGGTCCTTGAACAATGTCAACTTAAAAGTAGGTCACCGTGACCTACTTTTTGAACTTTATGACTTATCCTTTTAAAAACATTAAATCCCATTATTTCAGACACTGGGAGGTTTAGAATCAGCAAATCTTGTACTTTGATTCATCTAGGGACCTTAAAACATATTTATAACAAAGTAGGTCACTGTGACCTACTTTTTAAATTTTGCCGACATTTGTTTTCAAATTGTTTAAAATGCATATTTTGATTACCTTCAGACCTACGATCATCAAACTTGGTCAGTTGATGCATCTTGGGTCTTTGAAAAATGTCAACCAAAATGTAGGTCACGATGACCTACTTTCGACATTTTATGGCTATATTTCAGTATCTTAGGCATTTATTGGCTTAGAATCATCAAACTTTGTGAGTGGATGCATATTTAGTTTTCGAGAGTGACGACCAAAAAGTAGGTCACAGTGACCTACTTTTGACATTTTGTGGCTATAATTAAGTATCTCTGGTACTTATTGACCTAAAATCATCAAACTTTGTCAGATGATGCATCTTGGGTTTTTGGAGAATGTCGACCAAAAAGTAGGTCACAGTGACCTACTTTTGAATATCTCAGGTACGTATTAGCTTAGAATCATCAAACTTTGTCAGTTTAGGCACCTTGGGTTTTCGGAGAACGTCGACCAAAAAGTAGGTCACTGTGACCTACTTTTGAATATCTCAGGTGCGTATTAGCTTAGAATCATCAAACTTTGTCAGTTTAGGCACCTTGGGTTTTCGGAGAACGTCGACCAAAAAGTAGGTCACTGTGACCTACTTTTGACATTTTTTGGCTATATTTGATTATATCTGGTACTTATTGGCTCGGAATCATCAAACTTTGTCAGTTGAGGCATCTTACGGTTTCATTGAATGTCCAACAAGAAGTAGGTCACGGTGACCTACTTTTGAATATCTCATGTACTTATTGGCTTAGAATCAGCAAATTTTCTCAGTTTAGGCATCTAGGATGTTTGGATAACGTCGTCCAAATTCTTAGTTGGCTAGTGATACCT